CACGAAGCTTCCGAGCCTCCTGTCGAGTATCGCTGCTATCGAAATCCTCGCCTCAGATTCTATCAACCCTTATCTCGATCTCAATCGTAACCCACGGTTCCTGATTCCAATTGCTCGTCCCATCGTGTCTACCTCCTATCCACCGCTTCCCCCCACACCTCTTCCCCACTTGTCCTCCGAGACATGATCTCTTCTTGCCATTCCAATGGCTGCGGAAACCGTCGAACCCTCGACACATAAAAAGGTGCAAGGAGCATCGGTCTCTCCCAAGAAACCGGAGTCGGGAGGCGCCCAAAATGCCCACGAGAGGGAAAAGCAGATGGTGGCCTCCGCCCATCCGTCGCATCAACGACACATGAACCCCTTTACCGCCGCAGAGCGTCCGGATCAAAAACATCTGAGTGTATCTGCGAAGAATCTAAAAGTAGCCGATTTTGCGCTTTTGCGAACACTGGGGACGGGTAAGTCTCGGTTCGGGCTGCGGTCGTATGTCCGGTGTCTGATCTGTTATCTTTCTCCGTGCAGGGACTTTTGCTCGAGTATGGCTTGCCAGATTGAAAGCGGATGAGAGGAAGGATAGGGTATATGCATTGAAGATACTCCGCAAGGCAGATGGTGAGGGTGGACTTTGCCTGTTGTGCTTCTATGAGGCTAACGCGTGGCGTTGTCAATGTGCGCAGTGATCAAACTGAAGCAGGTCGAACACGTCCGCAATGAACGGAAAACACTTGCAGCTGTCTCTGGTCATCCTTTTGTGACGACTTTAATAGCGTCGTTTTTTGACGCGGAAAGTCTATATATGCTGGTATGGTGTTCCGCGATTCAGAGGGGAAGCGCATGGGTCTAACAGCTTCCTCAGCTGGACTACTGTCCTGGAGGCGAGATATTTAGCTATCTACGACGAGCGCGACGGTTTAACGAACCCACATCAAAGTTTTACGCTGCCGAAATAACCATGACAATAGAATTCCTGCATGAGATGGAAGGGATTGCTTATCGCGACCTAAAGCCAGAGAATATCCTCCTCGACGCCGACGGCCATATCAAACTTGTCGATTTTGGTTTCGCGAAGGAACTTGGTGACCGCGAGACATATACACTATGTGGCACGCCGGAGTATCTTGCGCCAGAAGTTATTCATAACAGTGGCCACGGCCTTGCAGTGGATTGGTGGGCCTTGGGGATTCTTATCTATGAGTTTTTGGTCGGGCAACCACCTTTTTGGGATCATAACCCCATGCGGATATACGAGCAGATTGTCCAAGGTCGTTTACGCTTTCCGCAAAACGTCATGTCCCCTGCAGCTCAGAACATCGTCTCCTTGCTCTGCAAAACCAATCCGACGGAACGACTGGGATACATATCGGGTGGCTCTGCAAGAGTAAGATCTCATCCATTCTTCGAAGGTATCAAGTGGGATGATCTCTACCATCGCCGTATAAAGGGACCTATCATCCCAAGAGTCGACCATCCTGCGGATACAGGCAACTTTGAGGAGTATCCAGATCCTCCAGTGAGCAACTTGACCCCATATACCGATGATTTGAAATCAAAGTACGAGCCGTTGTTCGCCGATTTCTAAAAGTTTATCGACCACACATGCTTCTTTAACCGGAGTTGGCGGAGCTTAGTGTCTCGCTTTTACAATCTTTCGTCTTATACGTCGCCCGTGGCATGAACGCATGTTAATATAAGTTGCACATGCCTCGTCTTCTTGGAGCCACACTGATTCAATTTCTCTTATCCTCCTTCTGCTTTTATTTTCCTTCCTTTGGGTATATTTTGGACATGGGAGTTACGAGCAAGTGATTATACGAATGTCTATAATGATGTCTTTTGGTTATGATGCCACATAAGTCTGCCATTCACTATTCTTCTGTGTCAATATATAGTCAAGTCTATCAGGTGTTTGGCTTTGCCTTTCTTTCTACATTGTCATAATTGCCATTTGTTCTGCTTGTTGTTATCCAAAAATTGTGTCTGTGTTCAAAAAGCAAGTGGCTGCAAATCATCTCAGGTGTACATATCTAGGAAATGGATATATCGAAAGAAGTTTAAGCCATGGCTTTGTGGCCTCGCTCGCACTGTACTCATAGTCCATATTCGAAGCTCTCCCACCGTGCTATGTACATTTACAGGTAATTCAATTCAAACACCAACCAAGCTAACGAACAAAACAGACCAAAACCCAGAATCCCCTAACGCCTTTCTTCACTCCTTGTATGCAGGAATGTGACATGCATGCAGGATGTTGATATCCCTGGCGAGACTCAAAGTGTAGACTCGTTTTTCGTAGTCCTCGCTTTAAGGTGATGGCTCTAGAACCAGGTGGGTAATCTGATTTCACATATCGAGGTGCGTAGGTTCTGAAAGTTCTACGTTAACTGCAGATTACCACCGTCTATATATGGCCTCAGAGAGGAACAGAATAAACCTGTCGAGCAACGCCATCCTGCTGTAAATGTACAAAAGGGTATCTTTTATTCTATTTGATGGGCGTGAGACGTAACGGTCATAGCGAAGGGTCTGTTTTCCAAGTCCCTGATTAAATGTCAGTACTCCTCAGTTGACTCAAAAAGGTAAGGAACTATACCGTCGAAATCATGCTGCACAAACGCCATCGGGTCATCGATATCCATAGCTCCCATCTGCCCAACACCAGGACTGAAACTCGTGATCGGCAAGACGACAACATCTCCAACCTTGCGGCGATCTTCCTGCCCAGTAAAATCCTCGTAGGTGACATTGCGCGAGGTTTCGGGATCGATCTTGAAGTATTCTGGGTTATTGAGGTAACTGAAGATGGCGTCCGTCCATGCGGCAGGACCTGTGAATTCGACAACAGTCTTATCCATTTTATTCGACTTGAGCACGCCTAATTTCTTCATCCGCAGCGCTTCCTCGGTGATGTAGGCGACGATGTCGCGGAGGACAGGGTGACCTGGCTTGGCCTGGATAGTCCACTGACAGAATTGGATGCGTCGTGAGTACCATTCGTGCCAGTCATCACGATCAGGATCCGCTTCGATGCCCACGACCAAGCCGACAGTCGACTGGTCCAGTTCCCGAGGGAGCCATTCAGACGCAGGCTGTAGGGCGGTGGTGTCGATGTCACTGTAAATACCCCCACGCGCAAGAAGTACTAAGTACCGGAAGAAGTCCGCCTTGAGCACAGCAAGTGGCAGTGCCTCATATGCCTCCACCACTTCCGGCACCGACGCAAAATAGTATTTGATCAGGTGGCGCTGGGTATCGTCGGTGATGACCTGGTGGACGAAACCAGGGTGCAACTCTGTCCAGCTGGCTTCGGGGGCGCGCAGGTCGTCAATGAACCAGAACGAAGACGGATCATATTTCCAAGTTTGCCAGATGTAGGCGGGGAATCTGTTCGAGATGTCGTAGGGGAAGTGGTAGCGGAGTCGGTCGCGAAGGGGTGCTGTCGGCGCGGGTTGGAGGGGGAGCTGTTGGACGGTGCCTTTCTTTGGCAAGAATTTCTCGTTCACGATTTCATGCGGGGTTGATGGAGGGACATCGGTTATCGAGGAAGAAGACGAGGAATGAGAGGATCGGAGGACTAGGATACAGGCGACAAGGAAGATCGCGGCGATCAACGACTTCCGAAAAGTGAGCATTGTACCGGCCGCAGACAAGGGAGTCCCGGCGACTGGGATAGAATCGCGTCAATCAGTACCGGCGAAAATAAAGATAGTCTGATTTAGTGCTATAAGAATGAAGGCAAGACTCTGAAGAAGTGCCTGACGAAACTACCACGAGGTATTCCGGACGCTCCGCCGATGATCCACGGGTCGATGGAGCAGTATGTAACACTGCAGTAGTAACTATATCCTGCGCAGTCTGATGCGGCCAGGCATTTTGAGAGGAGCTGCAGCAATGATATACTAGTAGTAGGTGATAATATGTAGTGCCTGGAATGGGACTGAATAAGCGAAGAAAAGAAAAGACCACGCGGCCGCCAACGTCAGATTGCTTAACATTTCTGCGACACCGGTGCACAGATGCATTGCAGAGTATAATGGCAAATGAAGACGATATTATTTTACATCCCCTATTTAAACAGGCTTGATTTCGAGTTATAAAGTGCAATTGTTCTATCCGATGTGCTCTATACAAGGTTCTATAACAAAAGCCTTTATACTGCATCCTGCAGCTGCATACAAAGCGGAGAGCTTGGCGGCAGGACTGTTTCTCCAACAGAGAAATCTGAATCGAGCATGAGCACAGAAATTACTATATAGGTACTCTGGCGATACAAAATGCATGGTATTATCTCAACGACGATCTCAATCTTCCGATCGGTTCCTGGTCTGTCGTGCTGGTTTCCGACTTCACCTTTCCGCATCTCCGGCATACTCTGTACCAGGTACTACAATGACTGCGCTGTGACATAGACGACTGTACCATCAATTCAAAGCAGAACTACGCAATTATTAACGATGACCAAGGCCAAATAAATATGTCCTATGATGCCGGCGACAGCGCCGTCCCGTCTCTTCCAGTCACAAGACATAACCCCTAGCGACAACACACAGAGCATGGACCCGGGGTCCCAATCCCATCGTCCAATGCCGGAAAAGGGATCAAATGGGCCATCGAAATGGGCCGGGAAACAAATTGCAATCGTGACCCTGATCGTGGTGATGACCGTCTTCACCATTGTCTTGGTCGTCACATTGCCCATTGAGCTGCGGCCCCGGAGCAGCTACCGCATTGCTCGCGTTGATTCCAGCTATTACGATGGGGCCAATCGTCCCAAGCGTGTTTTGGAAAACTTTCCGGATCCTGGTCTAGTCCAGGTTAACGGTACCTGGTATGCGTTCGGTACCAATGAGGCGAACAACGATACGGAGGTACCGAGGGTGCCAGTCGCAATATCTTCGGACTTTATCAATTGGACAAAATTGGAGAGTCGCCAGGTGCTACTGGCAGATGGCGATTGGGAAACTGATGTTAATCACTGGGCGCCGGATGCCATGCAGCGGGTGAGTACAAGCGGATTTCTTATGGTGCCCGTGCGAGAATGACATTTCTGTCTAGGACGATGGAAGATTTGTGCTCTACTATTCCGGAGAATTAAAGGACTGGAAGCGACACCACTGCGTTGGCGTTGCTGTCACGAACAACACAAGCCCCCTGGGTCCCTATGTGCCACAGAATACTCCCCTGGTCTGCCCCTTAGACCAAGGCGGTGCCATTGACCCCTCTCCGTTTAAAGACATCGATGGAAAGCTTTATATCGTCTACAAAGTCGACGGAAATAGCATTGGAAATGGCGGAAGGTGCAACAACAGTAAACCACCCTTCAAATCTGTCCCCATCATGCTGCAAGAACTCGAAAAAAACGGTACTACTCCTATTGGAGATCCGGTGCAGATTTTCGAACATGATGACGACGAGGATGGCGAGCTGGTCGAGTCCCCCAATCTCATCCGGACGGCGAAGGGCATCTACTACCTATTCTACTCTTCCCATTGCTTCATATCGCCCGAGTACGATGTCAAGTATGCCACATCGCCTTTCCTCCGCGGCCCTTATACCAGGGCTAAAAGAGAGTTTCTCAGGACAGGCGATTTCGATCTCGATGGCCCTGGAGGCGCCACTGTATCCCAGGATGGGACCAAGATGGTTTTCCATGCGAATTGCGACCATGAGCGATGCATGTATGTGGCAGGAATCCACATCAACTCGACTGCATTGAATGTTACCTTGACCTCTTTATGATCATGGTGCTAAGATGTATGAGTTCGTATGATTAGAAGCGAAGATACCTTGTTCCGTGAAGACATCTAGTATCTAGATAAAGAAGTCAGCCAATAATAATGTGCATAGATGACGCCATACCACGCAGCGGCATCGGCCTCCAATCTGTCACCGCCTTCCATATACAGAACGGTCATTTCAGCTTAATCGCCGTCTAGATTTCGACGATTCTAGACAGAACGTCTCCTTCTTTGCTCTGTGCCTGACTGCCACCATGGCTTCCTTTCAGAATGCAGCGCGCTCAGCTTCCCGAAGACTGGTGAAGCATTGTGAGACTCCGACCGCATTCGCCGGAAGAAACCGATTCTACTTATCACAATCATCCCACCTGAGAGGACTACACAGCGTCCCGCCACGGAGTTCCCACTCGACAGTCGCAGCGGAGAAACAAGAACTGAAAGATGCCTCCAATCCTGCTCTTTCCTTCCCTTGTCTCGATGCCCAGGAAGAAAAGACCGCACGGCTTACCGCGCGATCTCTCGAGTCGGGTCCGGAACCGTCGTACACCACAGGTCACCATGAACGATTCCATTGCGAGGCACCGTTATTGCTGGATTGGGGTGGTGTCCTGCCGGAGTTTGATGTCGCGTACGAGACCTGGGGTCGATTGAACGAGGATAAGAGTAACGCTATTCTTTTGCACACCGGACTCTCCGCATCAAGTCACGCCCACAGCACCGAGTCTAACCCTAAGCCCGGGTGGTGGGAGAAGTTCATCGGACCTGGCGGGCCACTGGATACAAACAAATACTTTATTATCTGCGCCAATGTTCTTGGGGGTTGCTACGGGAGCACAGGGCCTTCGTCGATTGACCCGTCTGATGGAAAGCGATATGCTACTAGGTTCCCCATCTTGACCGTCGAAGACATGGTGCGGGCTCAGTTCCGCCTGCTGGATGCGCTTGGTATTCAAAAGCTGTACGCATCTGTCGGATCGAGCATGGGTGGTATGCAGAGTTTGGCTGCCGGTGTTCTGTTCCCCGAGAGGATCAACAAGATTGTGAGTATCAGTGGGTGCGCACGTAGCCACCCATACAGTGTTGCCATGAGACACACCCAGCGCCAGGTCCTTATGATGGATCCCCGCTGGGAGCGTGGTTTTTATTACGACTCCATCCCGCCGCATTTCGGAATGAAGCTTGCCCGTGAAATCGCAACGGTCACTTACCGCAGCGGACCGGAGTGGGAGAAGCGCTTTGGCCGCAAGCGTGCCGACCCCAGCAAGCAGCCCGCCCTCTGTGCAGACTTCCTTATCGAGACCTACCTCGACCACGCAGGTGAGAAATTCTGTCTCGAGTACGACGCCAACAGTCTCCTCTACGTGTCGAAAGCAATGGACCTGTTTGACCTGGGATATGAACAACAATTCGAGACCCGGAAGCGCCGGGCCGAGTACGAACGCAAGATCACCCAAGGCGACAAACAACTCGAACAAAGCGATCCGGCTTGCAGCCTGACTCTTCCGGAACAGCCCTACGAAGAACAACCCTCTGTCACCGCATCCATCCCACCGATCAACGAGTCTGTCTTTGGCAGCGGAGACAAGAGCCTAGAGACGCCGCCAGAGGACCTTGTCCGTGGATTGGCACCTCTCAAGAACCATAAGGTGCTAGTCATGGGCGCTGCCAGTGATATACTTTTCCCCGCTTGGCAGCAACGCGAAATCGCTGCGACGCTCCAGGCTGTTGGCAACAAGAATGTCGAGCACGTTGAACTCGGAGAGGATGTATCGCACTTCGGGCACGATACATTCCTGCTTGATTTGAAAAATGTTGGTGGCACGGTGCAAAGGTTCCTGTAATGATATAAAAGTTATGTTTCTGTATTATTATTGTATAGCATGTTCATAATGATGATGCATATATAGGCGTTTTTATTATGTTGTTATTCAGCGGTAAATTAGAGGCAACCGTCCAGTAAATTCGTCCGAATCTCCAGTCTAGTAGTCATTCACTTTGTCAACGATATTAAATAGCTGAACAGGTAGAGGCTTGGGACATCATAGCGAAATGTAAGTTGTCTTCTCCAAAAGAGAGTGAGGGATGATGCTGATGTCTAGTTGCAGGGACTCAGGCCGGTAGAGACCTATATTCGAAAACACTATGGGCTGCGTCAACTCTTCCACAAAGCTATAGTGATGAGTGCGGCTCACGTGCAGTCCCATCTCAGTCCTTTGGCCTAACTAGTTACAATGTGGTTGTGCCCCCTCGTGAGGCGCCTGCCTCGCAAGGGCTTAGCAATTTGGTCAAAAAAGGTCCCGCTGAGGACATTGATTCGGGGAAGAACAAGAGGGCAAAAACTGGGAGCGTCCCGGCAGATAAAAGGTGTTTTCAGGGTCTTTGCTATTAGCAAACAAGCTAGTACTAACAACTTTACCAGTATTACGAGCGAGACGGCGGTTGCTTTTTGACGAAAACCAACCCCCGCTGTCACGAAGGTTGCTCACCCCTGTTCCCTCTCAATGAAGGACTCAAATAAAGCTGGTGCCGTTATGTTCCACGCTGCGGATGTTTTGGCCCGAAGACAGGGTAGATGCCTGGTGGCAGGCGATTTACAGGGACAAAGACGGAGCAGAGAAGCCGCAGAATCTGATATGCACGAGTCCCTCGGCTCATGAGATGTACAGTGTCTATTTGCCCTTGAACTTCTACCCCTGGATTTAAAAATAAATAAAAAATAATAATCGGAGGGCAAGGGGCTTTCTGTCCGTTTATGGCGGTTGAAACCAGCGGAGTCAACTGGCTGGTCGGCCTAACCACTCAGCCCCAACTCACATCAGACTTCGATCCAAGTAGGCATGGTCTTGGACTGCACAATGTACGTACGGAATAACTTATTCGTTCCAGAGATGCTAATTAAACCCAGGACGCATGGCCCTATCAGCTACCCACTTCCGGTAATAAGATTCCTCAAAATGCAATGGTTCCTGAATAGTCACCGCGTTGCGAGTGGCCGCAGAGCCAAGGGAATTCCCGGACGACTCAGAATCCGATAACGACGACAGCTTGCCCTGGCTAGTCTCGTTGAGCACACCGGGGAAGTCGTCGCCTGCTAAGCTTGCACCGAAGCGAGAGTTCTAGCACGGAAAATGAGCTTGCTCTCACGCCTCAAAAGGGAGTTTGAACGCAAGGACAGCGAGTAGGTGGCCAGATGACAAAAAGAAATGAAAAGAGCAAGGGCATGGTAATTTAGTATCCTTATTATTTTATTTGTTTGTTGGCTCTCTCGTGAAAAGAGCATGGTTAGACACTTCATCCTATATAGGATCGACGCGGCATATCGGAAAATCAGTATACTTAAATCAAACTACATAACCTTTAGTAACAAATGCATGCGTCCAACAAGAAAAGTAGAAATAATGGCCCTCAGATTAGCTCTCAGGTTCTCATTGACTTCCAGGCAAATGCGTGTTTCACCGGATATCGTACAATTTTGGCTTATGTGATTAAACACTCATCACTGGGCAATATAACTAAAAGAAAGAGCAGGGCAGCCGTTATAGGCGTCTTATGGACACATTAATCCATCAGATCTTAAGAACGGAGTAACATCAGCATAACTGATAGACCCTGGAAGACACATTAGCGACGGCTCATATACACATCCAAATTCAGAAACGCTGAAACACAAGATAAATCGGCAAGCCACATCAGTTTGAAAACTACCTTTTCACTCTTCACAGACCTGCTCAACGCCGTTACCACATTGTTACAGACGGAGCATTATTGGGTTGTCCAAATTGGTCTCGAGTGTATGCTATTTAGTTGTCGTCATTTGGCTGCCGGGGTGTAGCGAATGGAATGGAAACATAGGAACGTACCTTTATACGTTAGTCTCGCTAGAGTGACAGCATTGCTTTATACATTATAAGTAATGTACTCATCCAGGAGAGATTAAAGAACTGCGAGCAAAACAACACCGAAATAAGTCGATATCATTACCAGTCCCTTAGATCTCTGTTCGTCTCAATCACCCACACATAAGCGCGTCTTCTTCCACAAAAAGCACTAACATGCTCTCAAGGGATGAAGTCCACGCGTTGGAATAATCCAGCGATCTGGCTTATTTCAAGGTGTCATGAGAGTGCTCTATGGTGTACTGGGATATCATCATTGGGAGTAACAATAATGTCTTCGTCAGACCTGCACCAGCCTTGTTAGTTATAGTCTCCGCGAGCAAGTTCATGGGATCCGGGCTTTCAACGTACCCGGTGTTGATAGGGACGTAAAGGAGGGAAGGCACGCACGCGACAACGCGGAGACAAAACAGCGCCGCTACGCACGTGACCTCGCTGCTGATCCACTGCGGAATTCGAGCTATGACGATAGAATTCATGAGTTGGCTGTCTGCGCTAAACATTGGAGGCCTTTCTTGTCTTACTGTTGGGAACTGTATGTAAAGATATCCCATCATATGAGAACGCTGAGCTTGCGAGCATTGAATTTGATATTGACTACTTCACTACTGCAGGTACCCTCGATTTGACGAAATAAATCTCCGCCGCAAGTTCAAAACCGGAACGCACATCAAACAAACATAAACAAACGGAGGAGGGGCATACATACAAATATTTCGAGGATGTCGTGGATCCAGCAACACGCCAATTCTCAACAGTCACGATTGGCTGCTACCGCTGTGCTCTCGGGAGCTGCTGTCGCTGGCGCCATTCTTGGATACCAGGCAATTCGACGAGAAAAAGCCGTGCACAAGCTTAAGGCTTCCATTCCGGATATAAACGACAGTCATTATGCGGAAAAGGTCCGTTATACACACCATCAGGTGCTTAGAATTGTTATGCAACGTCCGGAATGCTGATTCAAAGTGAAGCTCACAGAATATGGCTCCGCGGCTGCACCGCAATTGAGCAAAGAAGACGAGCGCAGTGCAGCGCTTGCACGCAGAGCACAGGAGGGAGATTATGATGACGGTGAGCATCCATGGATCTTGCTATTCTAACTAGGACTAACAAGTACAATGGGATATAGACCTAATACTCGAACAACTCGCCCGGAATCGAGTATTCCTCACCGATGAAGGCCTTGCCAAGCTCCGATCATCTTTCATAATTGTCGTCGGATGTGGTGGTGTCGGATCGCATGCGGCAGCCTCTCTCGCTCGCTCTGGCGTATCCAAGATCCGGCTTATCGATTTCGACCAAGTCACCCTCTCTTCGCTGAACAGACACGCCCTCGCGACGCTAGCAGACGTGGGCACGCCAAAGGTGCACTGCATCCGCAAGCGCCTAGAACAGATCGCTCCATGGGTTAACTTCGATTGTCGGAACGAGCTCTTTGGGGGTTCCGCGGCAGACGATCTTCTGGGCCCGTGGCAAGGGCAGAAACCGACTTACGTACTTGACTGCATCGACAACATCACCTCGAAAGTAGAACTCTTGCACTACTGCCATACAAATTCGATCGCCGTGATCTCTGCCATGGGAGCCGGCTGCAAGTCCGACCCTACTCGTGTCGTGGTGGGCGACATCTCTCTCAGCACCGATGACCCACTTTCGCGTAGCACCCGTCGACGACTGAAGGCTCTGAAAGTCAACACTGGCATCCCAGTGGTTTTCTCGACTGAGAAACCGGGCCCCGGGAAGGCAAGTCTGCTTCCCCTTGCCGAGGAAGAATTCAAAAAGGGTGACGTGGGCGAGCTATCCGTTCTCCCCGATTTCCGGACTCGAATCCTCCCTGTCCTGGGCACCATGCCCGCAGTATTCGGATATACCATTGCGAACCACGTCATCTGCGACATCTCCGGCTATCCCAACGACTACAATGCTGGCGGCAAAGGACGGGATAAAATGTACGATGGCATCCTCGCAGCAATGCAGGGCTTACATGAGAAGCTTGCCCGTACAGAAGCCGGACAGGACTTCGTTGGTCTTCGTCTACCAATCTCAAAGGATGATGTAGGATTCCTCGTAGATGACATCTGGCGCGGGAAAAGCATCGTTAGCGGCCTGCATAACCGCCTGCAGCTGATCCTGTGGGAGAAACCGGCTCGTGGGTTTGGTCCCGACTCTTCTTGGGAAAAGGAAGGGCAGAAGTTCATTCCTATTGCGCTGAAGGACCTCGTCTGCTTGACCAAGGAAGAGGCCATCCGGCATGAACGCGAGGTTCTTCGCGAGGGGAAGAGACCGGAGGACATCTACGATGAGAAGACGGTGCAGAAAGTAAAGGAAAGGATGAAGGAGGCGGAATTTTACGAAAACTACCGTTAAATGCGGTTTATGATAACGTGTGTATGCAAAAACGAAAATTTATGTACAAAGCAATGACCACTAGCTATTTAGGCAAGCATTGTGTTTATGCTCCAATCTCTTCCGAAGAAACAACGGTTCCAAAGGCATCATCCAACTCACTCAATACAATAGACACCAACTCCGTGGCCTCAGCGCCGGGAATATCCCTATCCCCAACCGCATCCCTCGCAATAACTACATCATACCCACGCTCAGCTCCCGCTCTAGCCGTCGTAGAAATACAGACATGCGCCATATACCCCACCAACACAATCTTTTTCCCCACATCCTCCAACCCCTTCAGGTACTCATCCAAATCCGTCTGAGCAAAGGAGCTGGGAAACTTCTTAGTAACCACCTTCTCACCAGCCTTTGGCGTCAACTCCTCAAACTCCTTTGCGAGTTCGGTGCCTGGGGTGAAGACGGGTGCGCCAGCGGGGACTTGGTGGACAACGTGGACGATGTTCTTGCCATTGCCAGAGGAGCGGTACTTATTCAAGAGATTGGCAATGGACTTACGGGTTTGGTCGACGTTTGCGGTTGTGAGGAGGCCTGTGGCGTATTCGTTCTGGGCGTCGATGATAATGAGGGTGGAGTCTTGGACGGAGGCGGTTGAGGGGGTAATGCCAATGGTTTGGCGGAAGGATTTTGCAGCGGACATGTCAGGAGTTACGAGAAAAGTGATTAAACTTGGGATGTTTTTAGTTTTTGGAAAGGAAAATGGCGAGAAGTCGCGGGGTTTATATGCCATCCTTGAAGGATGGAAATCTTATCTAATCAACATTATAGGCCCACTTTAATCAGTGGAACAGGGACTTGGCGGGTAATCTAACCAGTTTGGGTGAAAATTACATCATTTCATTGGATATACCTGAAGTATGGCGTGGGCTTCTGTACATGGTTGGTAATTTCGAGTTGGCAGGCATTTTTACTTTCAGTCTCATGGCTCTCTATACATTATCGTCTATCATTTGCTTACTAAATTCCAGCAATCATCACCTTGAAAACGTTCTGTCTTCCCGCTTTTACCAACTCAAAGGCCTGCTCTGACTCCTCGAACTTGAACCGGTTCGGGATCAATGGCTTCATAGTAATCTGACTACTCGAGATCAAGTCAATAGCCGCTTGGTAGCAGCTGATCAAATATCGGATTGAGCCCTTGATTACCAATCCTCGGGTGCAGACTGCAGTGGTCGGGAAATTAAATGTTTCCTTTCCCATACCAGCCTGCACAAACGCAGCGTAGATACCAAGCTGGACACACGGCTCAGCACCAGAACATTCCAGAACAACACCTGCACCATCACTAAGTCCTCACTTCTCCTTCAGAATAGTCGCCACTTTTTTAGCATGCGCATAGGGTCCGCACCAGGCTCCGGCCTTGAAGACTTTGACTTTGTTGCCGACTTCAACAACGATACCGGAGGATTGGTGGCCGAGGACCATTGGGCCCGTGAGGGCGTAGTCGCCAATAAGGCCGCGTTGCCAGCTAGATCAGCGTCAGCGTTAAGCCTATGTCTGAATAGAAAAGTACGTACTAGTGAATCTATAGGTTTTTCATTTTAGTGAACCAAATAACAATGTAATGAGTGATAGCAGGCAGCTCACATCACTTCCAAAGATACCCATATGGGAAGCGTGCATCATCACCCCATAAGGATCCCTGGGTTCCAGCTTGGGACAATCCTCAATCACCACATATTTGGCAACGGCAGAATCGACATTGTTGTGACGACTGCGGACGTCTACACCAATTCGCCTTGTCTCAAGTATACCGAAGAGATATGGGCCTGGTACAACCGAGTCAATTACGATGGTGTCATGTGGACAGCTCGGATTGCCGGAAAGATCTTTAAGAGTTAGGGCAAAGATAATCTGCTCATCACGGCTTCCGTGAGCTCCATTCTGGTCAACATCCCTCAGACGCAGGTTGCGTACAATGCCTCCAACGCTGCGGTTGTGCACCTTACAAAGATCTTGGTCATTGAGTGGACAGAGTTTGCCCGTATGGACTGCATCTCTTCCGGTTTTATGATGACAAAGAGCAAGTACTTCTTTCTCCGGCCAAGAAAAGAGGAAATGTTGAATAGAAGCCAACTTCGTATTCCAGTGCTGACCCAGCAGCCAAAGGAACTTTTCGACAAATGGTTGGGAATGATCTCAGGAGGCCAAATCTGCGATCCGGTCGAGCTGACGGGGGTAAGTCCCGTCCGGTATCCCGGTTTGAAAATGTCGCATACTAATATTTCCTTTTAGGCCTATGTGTTCCTTGCACCCGGAGAAGTGTATCCAGCACAATTGCGAGAGGTGCAAAAGAATGCCATACAAGGAACACTGAACATGTATGAAGCAGTCTCATATGGTGAGATATGTACATTCAGTCTAGAACGTATGGGCCTTCTATAAATCCTGCGTTGCCAATGACCTCGGAATATCCACAAGCAGACGTGGTGTGTAAAAGCATTACCTAGATCATCCAAGCGGTATCAACTTCTCAGCCTCAAATTTAGGAATATTCTGAACCCCCCCCAAAAAAAAAGATCGTCTATAATTTTATTTATCCATGCTCAAATCCATCTACCCTACTCCTTAACATCATCACGGCATTTCTCCTGTACAAGACTCTGTTTTCCACCAGTTTCGATCACCAGAGCCGTGAGCTTTCCCCCTTTGACACAACCCGAGTCTAGGCCTTTAGTATAATCGCTTATGGCAAGGCCCGTTTTTGAGTCGTGGCCATAGATGACCGTCATTGTGGACACTGTTGGGTCAACCTTGTTGCTCATTACAGTTGAGTAGTGCTTGTTGAATAACTGCAAATAGAATAAGTATTCTGGGCGCTATGGTCATTTGCATAGGAGAGACATACCTTGGTCCACATGGTCCCCTGATGCGAATCGAGCACCTTTTTCTTTTCAAATTCAATAGACCGCATATTCATAACATTCCACGGATCTTGCTTCTCCAACTCAATGTCCGGGAGTAAGCCTGCGTGCACCACGACTACCTCGCCCATGCCGCGAATCCATCCCAGTTTGAGGATCATCGGACAGGACTCGAGCCATTGCGCCTGGTCGTCGCTGAGTTGGAGTGCCAGGCCGCGTTCACGTGCTTCTTTGCCTCCTCCCTTGTCTTTTCCTTTCTTGTCTTTCTTATCCTTTTTCTTTTTGTCCTTCGTATCTTTTTTCTTTTCTTTCTTCTCCTTTTTTTCCTTCTTCTTTTCTTTTTTATCCTTTTTATCTCTCTTCTTCTCCTTCCTCTCTTTCTTTTCCTCCTTCTTCTCTTTCTTTTCCTCCTTCTTCTCTTTCTCCTCCTTTTTCTCTGATATCTTTCCTTTCTCTTGTTCTTCCTTTTCTTCCGACTCACTTTCATCCTCAGTACTTGACGACTCCTCGCTCTGTGCGACCATCTCCTGGCGTAATCGTAGAATCCTATCCTCATGATTCCCACGCACTGAGGAGGCCGAGTAATTCCGTGCCAGATCGACAACCCCAAGGCTATCAGGACCTTTATTGATAAGATCCCCGGTGAAGATAAGATGATCATGATCGGGTGCAAAGGATAACTTCTCCAACAATGCATCCACTTAATTATATGTACAATTAGCTGAAGTCAGGGGATTAAATGCATGCCGGGTACCTACACGAAGCTTTGCAGCCATGCACATCGCCGATGATAATTAGCCTCTTCTGGGATGTTGAGGTCGTTGTCGCAGCGTCATTATCGGGCAACAACGCGGGATTCAATGATTCAATTCGAAGCGGCTTTTTGGCACCATCGTCATGGCCAGTATGGTCCTGAATCTTTGACATTAAAGAGATATTTTCAAGCATATTTTTCGTCTGTTCGATGGTCGCATCGTGCAGCGGAGACGAATGCCCGCTCGGTTGCTGGTCCATGGTCGTATCCCGTTGCCACATCCAGCACGTTACGAGGAGAAGTATGCAAATGAAACAAAATATCGGAGCTCTGAATCTAGGCCCAAAGAGTTGAATGGATTTGAGCATTCTGGACTTATGGAAGGGGCCAGTGGGTATTCTCCGATGGTGAATTGTGGAGGGGATGTTGATTGGCGGGGCGGTGGGATAGCGTGCGCTAAATGATATAAAGTAGAATTGCTTGACAGTTCATGTTAATTTGTGGAAATGGCTTGGCTGACATACTTTAATGTGTTCAAGAATAACTAGTAGACTGCACTATGGCCTGGTTTAACAATATTCACTTTATCTTTCATGTTTTTCACACCTTGTTTTCAAAAGGGCTACTGCCATCATAATATAGAGAAGAAAAGCAGGGATCACTAGTCAGAGACTAACAGAGAGCCATAACACTTTCACCACTCCATCTTCGTCTTCAAAAATTGATAGTCTCACTCTTTGAATGGCTCTTGTCCTTTGGGGCTTCCCTTTAACCCAACCCACCCAATCCTCAATCGTCTCTTCACAAACCAATCTTTTCATCCTCCAAACAGGACGACACTCTAGATCTTCCCCAGAAGACATCACCCTCGTTCCAAATTCTACCTCGGTCTTTTAATCTCAAGATCATGCTGATATCCGCTTCAGCATATGATTCAGGCGGGGGCTAGGTTTGCGCCTGAGAAAACTGTCTTATTTACCCATCTTGATGAGAGGTTTGTTCAGGAGAGCTTTACGATCAGCTATGGCTTGATTTTAGTAGGGCTGAAGGAAGGTGAGATCATTAGTGCGATTTTAAGTTGAAGGTCTTGGGCTTCTATGGCTTGCATTCATATATGCTATTTGAGAGGCTTGGTTGCAAAATTCTGTGATTAGTGATGCCGTGTCGGCTCTGACGGGTTGGTTCTCTTCTATGTTGGACGTGTTGGTGTAGGTGGTCTTCTGTGCTACTTTACTGGGAGAGTACACATAAAGAAAAGAAGGGAAAGTGCCAAGTGCTGCGGGTTGGAGGTGGAGGGGTTGGAATTAGTCTTTATACATGGTCTCTATTGATGCGTGTTGGCTCATGAATTTTCCTACTGCTGACCGAAATGGTTTCCTGATCAACCGTGACGGTATGATTGGACCTTCTCCGACATCTATATATATGCAAGTATTCATTGTTGCGTAATTAATCAGCTAGAGGAATCTCTATAGAGATATTATCCTCAATACTGGACAATTAATAGATATGGTGACTATTGGATTATTCAAATTACAGTATAGTCTAAGCTCCGAAACAAATCATCCTCTTCGGGAAGCCCATCTTCAAGCCAAAAATGCCAATTTTCAATGACCTGCTCGCATAGTTGCCGCTCAGCCCTCCATTGATGTAGACCTTCCACGTCAGCATAGAGATCTATGACACGCATTATCCCAGGCATATGGACGATAATGCTGGGATTTATGAACTTGGTTCTGTATCGTTTATTAAACGCTACCATCTCAACATATTTTTTGGTTAAATTCTCTTGGAACAGCTCTCTGGTCTCATTGGTATCGTCTTCAATAGAGGCCCAAGGCTTGGGTGAATCTGGTTTCAATGCAGCTAACGATTTCAAGCAAGATGTACGGCAAGTGGAGAAGTGCTCACCTTTGCAGCTCACCTTTGCAGGAACGGAGGACTGCAATTTCTCTGGCACTCTCGTGAGTCTATGGTCTTGGGTTTGTATGGTATGCTGCAGAGATGTTATTTGAGAAGCTTGTCATTGGACTTCGGTGAGTAGGGATTCGACTTTCTGCGAGAGTTCCATATCGGTTTCTATTGTTGGTGTTGCTTTTCTGCAGTTCATATTGTAGTTGATTGTCAGTCGTCTACATAGCCTTCTGGCTTTTTGATGCCCGATAAAAGGTGTTGTGACACAAAAGTGAGTACTACTTGTATAAAACTCTATGTTGACCCAACTCCAAAACGTCACCTTCATTTACTATGACCAGTATTATGGTTGTTTCCCATCAACCTTCCGTTCTTCTGGGACCAACCGAAATAGCTTACAGAGAAAGCTAGTATTTCATGCATTGCTATACGTCATAGCAAGACGCGGAGATTCATTCATAAAACAGTGGATTTTTTTCAAGTTAGCTCAACTAATAGTAGAAGCTAACTAGACAGGAAGTTGCCCTTTCCACTTCATAGAACCAGTGACTTGCACCCTCGCCATCCCATTCTATGCTTTAGCCGACGGTACCATGAAGTGTAAGGGACTGTCCCTCTGATGCTGTCCTTTTTAAAGCTAACTATGCCAACATCGATCGTCTGCCTGTATAGTTACCATCCAAGCTGACCGCGTTCCAAATCAGCGTAGAGGTTTTTGACACGCATGATCTTAGGTGGCTGGAGAAGTATCTCTGGCTATTTCGACAGGTTGTTTCTTTGGATCGAAGAAGAATATTCTGTTGTCACTTATAGCTTGTTGCACAATGCTTTTTTTTCTGTTTTTGTTTTTCGTTGGGACTCTTGTGATGTCTCTTTGTTAGTAATAGACTTGAAGATTTCCAAGGATGCCTATATAATTGATGCCTGTCTTCGACATAAACATATGAAATCTCAATATTGCATCGGAATAAGAATATTGTGCAGGTGATCATAATTTCTGCCATTTTATTTGTTGAGGGTGGCCGGGATGTCGCTTCGTACTGTCGTCGAACGACTGTGGTACGAGCTTAATCGACAGCAAACCTTCGAAGGAGATGTAATCCATAAAGAGAAGTGTCTTCGGAAATCCAATACACTCATTGTTTTAAGAGAGGTGAACCGTATTTCTGTATCATTATGCGCTCATCTCCCCCGCATAGTACCCCGGTCCCAAGAAACTAAAGCTGACATCAAACAAACGCCACCACAAGTATATAACCTCTAGTTTCTCAAACCCATAGACTATACTTACCATCCTCTCCATCCTCACACTCAGACCAAATTATAATTTCCCAAATCAACAAGATGTTCTCTCGAATGAACCCAAGAAACTACCACTCCCGCTCCGGCAGCAGCCAATCCCAATCCGACGAGGATTCCTCACGCCAAGTCGGCCAGGAGACTTATCAGGGAGATTTTGCTACGATGGATCCGGCTATGCAGGTACTACTCCTTTAACTCCCCGACTCCCTCATGAAATTAGATCGTGGCTGATATGTGTACGCGGTTGATAGCGACAAAGTGTATCCTCGATGGGTGCGGATGGACGTCGGACGTCGGGGAGTGAGCAGAATTTACAGCAGGGGATGAAAGTGAAAGAGGGGATGCAACAGATGTCACAGGGTATGCAGCAGGATAATGCTGCGCGACGATCGAGTTGGATGAGGAAGATGGCGAATTTGCCGGAGGAGGTTAATGAATTCGGTTGATTTATGTACAATAGTGAGATACAAGTATTCAGACTAGGTAAGAGGAAATGTCTCGTTCCACTCTCCGTCGCCTTCCCAGATAACCGGGTCCGTAAAGTCTTCATACCAAAAGCCTCCCAACGAGTTCAACTTGATAAATCCAAATCGGAAGTACTCTGCATCTCCCTCTCTCTGCCTAGTCCAGTTAAATGCATCCACCGTCCCGTCTTCCTCCCGGAACCCAAGGTACCTCTCAACATCGTTCACCAACACACTGATCCCTTCAGCATCTGCCGCAAGTAGATCTGGAAAGTTGAAAAGGATGTTCTGGCTAGACATGATAACAGGCGCTGCAATCTCAGGAAGAGGTGATCCCAGCTGCGCGCCGTCGAAAAGAGCTCCTGGTGTTTGAAGGATGCTATCGAAGCCCCAGCGGGCGATGCCATTGATGAATAGACCTACCAGGAGGCCTTGGTAGAGGAGACAAGGGCGGGTTTGGATGGTTGTCCCAGGGAGGAAGAGAAGGCTGAGGATGTAGTGGTGGATCCGTAGGTTCATGTTTGGTACGACCAGTAAAATTAGGACGCCAGCGACCAACAGGCCATACACGCCCAGCATTTTGGGCATTCGTCCTTCATTTCGGAATGCGATGGCTTGGGTGATGACGATGGCAACGAGGATGGTGATAATAGTTATCAGGGCTGGGATTGCGCCTGGTTGCTGCTGAATATCATGCGGCGTGAGGCGGGAAATGGGGATCTTGTCGAATGTGTCGGTGTTCAGAGCTCCGACCCAGCAGGCCCCGAGCCATAAGACTGTCTTGTCCCAGTGAGCTTCGAGGCCTGCCAAGGTTTGCCGAACGCAGTAGTAGTATATAGCGAACCCACAAAAAGCGGCGGGAAGGAATCGCCCTAGTGCCGTTGAGACAACTTCATAGTAATTGGGAGACTCGGGAGGATCCGAAGACAGTCCCACTTGGAAGTATACAATAAAAAAGATAGAAGTATAGAAGGCTGCGGGCGAAGAAATGCACAGTGAGAGTACTGTAGTGATCACCACAGCAAATGTGAACAGAGACCAACGGAGATCCGGGCAGTCGATGCCTGCGTCACCCGGCGCACCACCCTTATCAAAGGTGAAAGAGAGTGGAAAATTCGAAGAGAATCCCAAACTCGAGATACCATTCTTTTCCACGGCTGGGAAATCGTTTTGCTCGCCTGTACGGCGAAGAATACCGCAACCACCTTGCTGGTCCGAAATAAGCCCAGCATGCAATGCTGCCGGACAGATGAACGAGTCACCACGATAGACTCCCGCATCGCTGCCGTTTGAGCCTCCAACGACCAAACTCCGGTAATTGATCTCCTGGGGCCCCACGACGTACGGCTCTAGCACCATGGAGAACGAGCAGCCTGCTGGACAGCGGAAAGCGAATCCCTCTTTGTCAAAGGGACGACAGTTATCGCCATTGATGCCACAAGAAGTTGAACCCGACCTGCCATACATAAGCCAAGGAATCCTGCAAATGCACTGAAACTAGGACCCTCACCAAAGTCTATCGTAGCATGCAAGCTTAACCGGTTTTCCGTACCCAGGCACGTCGATGCCATTGACTGAGTTATGTATAATCGAAAGAAAGATAACAAACCACACAATCACAACCGAGAACAAAAGCCCAATCTTCGCTCTTTTACTAGGACAATACCGATCAATCAACCGCCCCGGAGCCGTTTGCCAACGCCGCAGCCAAGGCGTTATCTGATACTTCCGCGGCTGTGGTGGGCCTTTCGCCCAGTTAATCACACCTGACACTGTGCATTGGAATCGTTCCTCTCTTTCTAGTTCCGGGCGGGGTGACTGAACAGATGTTGGGAGAAGAGGCTCTGAGCTGTGTTCCTCCTCCGCGACGAGCCTGGCGGAATCGGAACTCTCGCGAGGAACCGCCACAAAGTTACTGCTGTCGGAATCATGGTCCAGGACCTCCAGGGGATATTCCTGGGGTTCGCGGGGCGTCTTTTCAAATGATGATGATGATGATGATGAACTCTGCCCTGAACTACCTCCTGGTCGCATTTTGTCGTAAATTGAGTTGTGAAAGTCGTCAGAACTCCCCGGACGCGGCGATAGGAGAGACGGGACTTAGTCAGATCGTCACGGTCCAACTCTCCATCTACGATTATTTCTGTTCTACGCAATAAATAGGGATGCAATATCATATTAAGATTAGATCTAACATCAACATAACGAGCGACAATAGCTGCCACCTACATGCCACGAATCATCATCATCAGCATGCCACAGGGGTATCAACATAAATTCATCAATATCAGCCATCGCCAATCCAACACAGTTCCACCGATTGAGCTGCAAGGGTAGGCGAATATGGCTGCAAATTATATCAAGATATTAGGAACACAGGTCCAATAGAACCGTTGCACCGTTGTTGGGTATGTTCGGTCTTTATCCGTCGATTCACGCTCACTAGGCATAGAACCGAAATCTGCGATTGCAGACACAGCATTGTGCTTAGACAGCAGAGCGGTTCCAGCGGCGACGACCGGTGGAGCCATCCTTGCGGAAAGTGAACCAGACGCCCTGTCTATTGTCAGTCCCCTGATCATACCGACAGTATCCGGGAGAATACGAACCACGATGCCAGAAGCGAGCCAAACAATGGCGGAGATGAAAGCAAAAGCCTCAGCAGCCTTCCAGCGACCGCAAGTATCACCACTCAAGAAGTTGTTCCAGTGCCAGATGCTTCCGCAGTTGAGCTTATGAATGGCGTCGACGAGGATACCGAAAGCAGCGAACCAGGCGAGGGAGAGGATAATGTCAACTATACGAGATTTAATATTAGCATTCTGCACTCGGTAGGTAAAATTTGAACTAGACTGGCGTCATACTTGGGAACAAGAAGAAGCCAAACGAGCAAGGAATCAGCCAGAGCAGAGCCAGCAGTATCGATACACCGGCGACGACTTCAGTGTAAATCCATCTCGCCTGGGGCCAGGGATCGATGTTGTCGAGCTTGTCGAGGTAGTGACCGATGATACCGGCAACGATCTAACCCGTCAATTTCCCGTTAAAGACCTCAAAGCAGGGATTTATACATACAGCACCGAAGAAAATCTCAGCCACGCGGAGCACGACCGACACAATACGCGAGATCACAGGCATGATGGTGGGGTGCTTATCTATTTGACAGCAGATGGAGTATATGCAGGTATCTCAGTCGAGAACAAAAGGATCAAGAGTCTGCAGGAGTGAAGTACAGAACAGAAAAACCCAGAGGACCGACGCCTTTTAAAAGTTAGACCAAAACATTCACGCGCACCGCTAAAAAACTTGCATGGTGGCCCATGATCTGCAGCTTTATTTGCCCAACACAATCCATTTAAGGCGGTTGCCCAACTTCTGGCCGATTTCCCGTCATCCCGGGGAGGAAGGATCGTCGAGTCGGTGTCCGATCACTGTTAGTTTACTGTGTATATAGAGCATACGTACTTTGTGCCACAAAGTGTTGTTTCTTACCGTCACTCACACTTCCATAGACCATATAAGTACACAGAGTACGACACTTAGCATTAATGTATTGGGCATATACTCCGTACAATGGCGTTGTTAGCACAATGTGACGGACTGCAGAAGCAAATCATGTGGACCGATAGGTCCACACCAGCTAGAACAGTTAAGGCTAGCGGGCTCCATAGCTCTACGTTAGCGGCATTCACTAGCGTCCAATAGCCAGTCCATAGATCCAAAGCCAAAGCTTCCCTTTAGGCGTAAACTCGGCGCTTGGGAGTAAGGCGCAGGCATCAGCTAATAATCGCCAGAATTGGGGCTCGGCCACGATTTGCCGTTCTGGGTAGGTGGCTGTGTCTACTTTATGACATCTGTCGAATATTCTGGACTCGTTCATTGCGCTGTTTGCTCTGATTTCGTGGAAGAATAACCCAATGATTATTGTGAGTCTGTTTACCGGAGGCTCCGCGGAACAATACCCCTCCCATGACGTCATTTGAATCTCCACTGACTCAGCCTTACAGAATGGAAGGACGAGAGAAAGTGCCATTGATTACTCGCAATACTGTGTCTACTGTAGAATGAGAAATTATAACCCCTTCTTATCATAATCCAAGAACCAATCCATCACTGTGCGAAATACCGCCTTTCCACCACTTTCAACCACATCACCATGGCACGGGATGATCCGATTGAACTCCCACTTATCAATCCTCTGCATAGACTCCCGGAACGCCTTCCGATCATTCGCAGAAAGAACATACCATGCAAACCGCTTCTGCCATGTCGCATTCCCACTAGCCGACAAGAATGGATGTACCATCTTCGTGAGAATCCCACTGTCTGCCGCCTCGTTCGTCAGTGAATACTGCTCCCTGGCTGGCAAGTTGAAGAGGAGATCCGCCTCGATGAGCGTCCGTGATCGCTTATGTAGAAATACTAGTTCCTTCGAGCCGTGACCGTGCACGTATTCAACATCGAACTCGGCGTCGAATTCCTCTGTAACCTTCTGTTGAGCGTTGTTCTTTTCCTTCGTGAACACATGATGAAAAGGCGTGTCCTTGGACTCCGGGTTCGATTGCCGTTTCTCCCATAGTCCTTCCGGTCCGATAATTTCGGCGTCTGGATATTCCTTCTTCCACGATGTTAGGTGCAAATGGTGCTCCATATCCGGCGCGGCGATGTATTTGAGCTTCCCGCCCAGTGAGTCCACCGCTTCTCGTACTTCTGGCGTGAATGACACGGGGGAGAACACGGCAACAGATCCGGAGGCTAATCTGACTATTATGAGATGAGCATACATTAGTAAACTGACACTAATCAGTAATCAATCGGGATACATACCTAACGTCCCCCGCGCTCCGAACTTGAGACGCCCGAATCGCGCAAAAGGGAGGCTCATGGTCACCACGTCCGAAGTAACATTGCGGATGACCATCACCTGTTTTGGGTTGGTCGGAAAGAGTTTAGCCATGATGGCACAGCTTCTGAGCTTGATATCTGGTAGAATGTTACGTGTCGTGCTTAGAGCTGTCTGCGACTGTAGTCGACGGCGTGTACCTCGTCGGAAACTTCGATCGACAGGTACGACTTGAACCTGAACAAGTGCTTCAAAGCCCTAAGAAATAATTTGAAATATACTTGAGGTACTTCAAAGTAAAGTCGGTGGTGGTACGTAAATTAAAGATGGCAGGTGGGAGGAATGACGTTGAGAAGTTGAGGGGCTTCAGCTGGATGCGGCGGAAAATATGCAAAATGCGACAAATATTCCTGAGAATATTGAAAACATAGTATTTAAGTATTAGGTGTAAATTTATATGCAAGTGTGTGTTGCATCTTGTTGCGATCATGAGTTTGGTGATGTCGCCATGTACCTGGACTTTCTATGACGTATTGCGCGCCTGTACACGATTGGCGCGGACTACATAGGAAGAACACCACCATATAACTAGTTAACTAGTTAACCATATGTCCATTAAGTAAGCGTATTATCTAACTAGTTACATATATCTTAACACTCATAAGGGTATCGCTCATAAATCAACCCTGCCATTACTCTGATTTTTCCCACCTCAACCATACCAACCACGTCTGGTCTGCTGTTCCTCTTGACGATGCGGAATAATGCAATCTTTTCTGTCGTACAGGTCTATTATAGCTTGCCATGTATCAAAATCAAGGCTGAAGACGGCTTGGTGCTTCTGGATACCCTTCTTCTGAGCCTCGATTGGTGCGTATGGCTTGGTAGGATCTAGAGTTAATATGTTAGCGCCAAAGGCCCAATTCCAGATGGTAAAGGGGAAACATACGCAGTGTTGGCAATTCCCGGCTGTCGAAAGAAATACCCACTGTGCCATCTCTCACCAGAAAGCTAATGTAGAATAAATTCTCCACGCTCTGTCCAAATGACCTCGGGTTGATGCAGAAGAGGAATAGTGGTATGCCGCCATCATCGGCGATATCATACTTGTCCATCACCTCGTGTATTACTTCATCGTCAGGGTCTTCCATCTGTTGTAGGATCCGGTCTACTATATCCATACGTTGCTCTTGTGTTGTGGCAAGCAATTTATTGATCTTCGAGCACATGGTCGTCAGGTTGGATGTCTCTTGTCGGTCAAGATCTTCTTCTTGAAGCTCCTGAGGTCGAACGGCCTGCGAAGGATCAATACGCTCTCGAGCTCTCCGCTGAGTCTGCTGCCGCGTGCGCTTCTGGACCGACAAGGGACCCAGTAAGAAGCCCGATACGGGCGGTCGAGCGTTGTGCTGAAAACAAGCCGAACGGCCAAGCCAGTCCCAATTCATAGCATCTCCCTCATCCTCCTCATCACTACCAGCTTCCAGGTCTGTTTGCGATCTGCCAGCTGCACGAGGGCGAAGACGTTGGGTGCTGCTGGCGAGCGCAGCATGCGAGTCTTCCGGGCCGCGGCGCATAAACGTTATGCATTTCGAGACAAACTCGTCCACGTCGATACCTGCTGTTGCATCACCCATCGAGAGCTGCGTCGTTTTCTTATACGATAGATCTGCTGCACTAACCAGAAGACGGGAGTCAATCGTGGCGTCCGAAGTCTGCTTAACATGGTCGAAATATTCGTTCGCTTTCTTGACGGTGTCTTGGATTCCGTGGTTCCCGGCCTGTAGGTATTCGCTACGCGAATCTATGCCACAGTTTAGTTGCAAGACCACTAGGATACATAGCCCTGGGCAATCGCATTACCATGGAGATCCCGCGTTAGGTCTCTCAGACCCTTTCGAAGCCATCTTCTTTCAGTCTCATCTTGATCCGGGTCGTAGTATCTCTTATTCCGGTCTGCTTCCGACGACAGAACTTGTGGTTGCGTGCTGTCTTGAATATTCGATGTTCGGTCCGCGAGGTGCCGTCGCTTATTCGTATTGGGCCTCGAGGCCATGCTGGTTCTCTTGCGGTTCCTTGCTGATGCCTGATCGTTTTCCTTATCTGAGCGAGTTGTATCTGGCGAAGATCGGTCCGTAACGTCGTCTGTAGGGATAGTGCGCGCCATGCTAATCTTTTTTTCTCCCACGGTCTAGTCAGACAGAACGAGCGAGCGACGAGGCTGTGATAGAGCAGATAATGACCGGAGATAATCACGTTAGTCTCCACGCGTAGAATAAGCAAAAACGAACCAACATCAAATTGAATAACAACAACTGCGCTTACTCGAGCAGAACTCTCGAGTTGTCCCAATCACCTTATCCACTTTCGATCCGCGGCGCGTTCCACGCGTTGTGATAAATGTCACGTGATCATATCTCGCACCCCCGCGTCATCGCGGCACTGTAGCCAATCAGTGGCCGTCTGGACAGCTTCAGCCCATTCCATATTCAGCGACTTCCCAGTTCAGAGCAGTCGAAGACCAGATAATGACGGTGTGAGCAGCAGAAAGCCTCGAGTAAAGGATGGAGGCATTTACATTTGCTACTTCCACGCAGGTGGACTTCCCAATTCATGTCAGAATGTCCGTAAGCCTTCCGATGGGTTAAGGACAGGACAGCTCGCTAACTTGGTACAGTGGCTCGTTAGAAGGGAAGCAGAAAAACATACCCTTCTCCGTCCTGCTTAAACAACCGGAGCTACGACATATCGGCTCATCCCAGAATCCCGTCTCCGATCTGTTCGTTACGGCACAGCTATGGTCCGACTCGAAACCGTTAGGAGTACCGGTACAGACCTCGTACAAGGCGTTCAAGGCCCGGCGGGTATGGAATGAGTGGATGCAGATGCCAATGTCGGTCAAGGATGCTCCATCCAAGTGCCAATTAGCTATCACGGTCTGGGACCTGTCCCCATTTGCCGGCGAAGGGGCACACGGCCATTATATCCCGTTTGGTGGAACGACTGTCCCGATATTTGATAAAGAGGGTAAATTGAAGACAGGCAAGCAGAAATGCAAGGTCTATCGCCACAAAGCCGCCGATGGCATGTCGTCGACTACCACTCCGTCGAGCCCGCCTCCGAAGCGACGCAAAGCCCAAAATCCGGATCCGTTAGGTCCATCGGTGGAGGAATTGGAGCTGGAAAGAGTGGAAGTCCTGATCAAGAAACATGAGATGGGTGAAATACCACGGATCGACTGGATGGACCAGATGGTTTTTCGACAGTTAGAGAAGCTCAAGTTGAATGCTGACGAGGCTGCGAGGAAACGAGCTATCCGTCTAAAAGCCACGAAGCAAAGGACCGCACAAGACGATGAGGATGATGACGAGTCTGATCAAAATACGGACGATGAAAATTTTGTTCTATACGTTGAATTTCCACGCTTCGATCATCCTATCGTCTGGACAGACTATCAGTATCCCCCGCCACCCGTTTCAGCGCATCTTCAAAATACACCTGCAAATCAGGCTGCATTGAAGCCCCTTCCGGAAGTCCGTTTCGGTCCTGGGATTGAGGGTGGTGAGGCTGTCATTAGGATCTACGATCCTGAATTGGGTCAGACAGGGAACCCGTGCGAGGACAAACACAGAAGATTAATTCGCAGTCATCGCACCGGTATCATGGACCGTGACTTGAAGCCAAACCCCAAGATCCGCGATGAACTAAACACCATTCTCTCTTACGAACCAACACAGGACCTCAGTGCCGAAGAAAAGGATCTTATCTGGAGATTCAGATACTTTTTGGCTCGCGAGAAGAGAGCACTTACCAAATTCGTCAAGTCGGTTAACTGGCGAGATGTTGGAGAATCCCAGCAAGCAGTGGACATTCTTCCGAAATGGACAGAAATTGATGTCGACGATGCCTTAGAACTTCTTGGTCCTACATTCGATAACGCTGCAGTTCGCTCTTACGCCGTAGAAAGACTTAGAAAGGCTGATGATGACGAACTACTTTTATACCTTCTGCAACTAGTCCAAGCGCTGAAATATGAAGACAGCCCCGATGAAGATATAGAAGATACAGCGTATGACTCTTCTTTGGCCAATTTCCTTATCTCGAGGGCAGCCAACAACTTCAAACTTGGAAGTTACCTACATTGGTATCTAATGGTCGAATGCGATGATGCTGGCCCGGGAACCTTGTCAGCACAACGCAGGCTCTTCGCTCGTGTGGAATACTATTTCATGGCAGAGCTGGAAAAAGTACATTCAGAGAACAGGAAGACGCTCTTACGCCAGGGTGAACTTGTCACTGTTCTCTCGAAAATCGCTAAGGACATTCGATTCTCTCGAGATACCCGGCCTTTGAAAATCGAAAAGTTGAAAAAGTACTTGAAGGACCCGAAAAATGACATTGCTTACATAGATCCACCTTTGCCGTTGCCACTAGATCCTGATGTCTTAGTGACTGGCTGTTTCCCAGACGAATCCAATGTTTTCAAGTCGTCTCTTTCTCCGCTAAATGTCACCTTTAAAACGTCAGATGGGCGCAGATACCCAATCCTCTTCAAAGTCGGCGATGATCTTCGGCAGGACCAACTCGTTATCCAAATAATCATCCTAATGGACCGTCTTTTGCAGAAGGAGAACCTGGACCTCAAACTCACACCATACCGTATCCTGGCAACCACTTCAACGGCAGGTGCTGTCCAGTTTATACCATCCACCTCCCTCTCAGCAGTCTCCGCCAAATACAAATCTGTCCTCGCCTACCTCAAAGCCAATAACCCTGACGACCACGAACCGCTTGGCGTCCGCAAGGAAACCATGGATACCTATATCAAGTCCTGCGCCGGATACTGCGTGATCACTTACCTTCTTGGTGTAGGGGATCGTCACCTGGAGAACCTTCTCCTCGCACCGGACGGCCATTTCTTTCACGCAGACTTTGGCTTTATCTTAGGCCGTGACCCTAAACCCTTCGCACCGATGATGAAGCTCTGTAAGGAAATGGTAGAGGGAATGGGCGGGACCACGTCCCCTCTTTACCTCCAGTTCAAGCAGTACTGCTTCACCGCGTACACGACGCTGCGCAAGTCAGCGAACCTTATTCTCAACCTATTCAGTTTGATGGTTGATGCTAATATCCCTGACATACGTGTGGAACCAGATAAGGCTGTTCTGAAGGTTAAAGAACGGTTCCATCTGGAGATGACTGAGGAAGAGGCTATAAGGCATTTTGAGCAACTTATCGGGGATAGCGTTAATGCTATCTTTGGTGTGGTTATTGATAGGATTCATGACTTTGTGCAGGGGTGGAGAGCGTGAGGATTTATGGTTTAAGGATATCGACTTGAATTTGTTGTTGTAAGGCGCAAAGGCTTAGATTTTTGATACCCATGTAGGAATCATTTACATTGCATACCACTACAATCTAAACACATCGTTGGTTACCTGCCCTTTCTTCCAATCTCCTCGTCCGCCTGTGGATAAGCATCAAGTTCGATCCAATCGTGATCAGCATCATCGCTTCCCGTTGCCCGTGTCTCATGAGATAATCTGTCATACTTAGGTGACGCTCCAGCAGTGAACATCTCATTTCGACTATCCCCAGGGATAGCGGGGAATAACACATCACCTCCATTTCTAGCACCCATATCTTCTTCATGCGGTTTATCCCTCTTTTCCCGCTCATCCTCATCATCCTCCGGCGTCCCCTCCCTACAAGCCCATGCATCAACGAATCTCAGAACCTCCCGTGGCCACCAGCGCTTCATGACAAATAACCGAAATGGCACGAGGAGGATAATCAGAACCGGGAAAGCCGGCGCAGCTTGCGTCAACGTCACGATGAAGATCGCGACAGTTATGGCAATCTGAAAGATTGTGTAAATGTGGATGGGGATGTATGAGGGTTTTCGCATGGTTGTATTGTCGTTTGTATCTCTGTTTTCTTTCTTTGACAGAGCTGCAGGCAGTGGTGGGAGTTCGGATGGTGGTGTGAGGAGGTAGAATGTGCGGTATAGGATAGGGCTGGGTTGTTAGCCTCCAGCCCATGTTTTGAAGAGGGTTTATATTGACTTACTTGACTGATAAGCTCTGCTCTCCCATAAACATGAACAGGCCTGCAAGTACACTCGTCGGCGTTAATCCCAGAACCTTCATCAACGGCGGGCTAACAAATGCAAAAATAGCCCCTGCGTGCAGAAATACGGACCAGCGCTGCTCATACACGCGCTTCACCTCACAATTCTGAGTCTTTTCCTCGCCATCTACGATAATCGTTGAGGTTTCTTGCTCTGTATGCATCAAGGACTCCGAGTGTAGTGGTGCCTGCGGTAGTAGTCCATTGGAAGGTGGTATCCCCAAAATCCCACAAATAGCAGTCGTAGTACCCAGTAAGATGATATCCCACGCGAAGCCGCCAGGTTTCCGAGTCCCGTATCGATCAATCGTGCAAATAATAGAGCTCACCTCGTGGTCAAAGAAGAATAAGATGGTAATGATGATTCCAGGGACTATAGCGCCGAATATCCATGGGACTGGTAACTTCCAGAACTCCACAAAAAATCTATCTCGATCCGGGGATGTTGGTCTGAAGGTCTCACTGACTGGAAGAGTCATATTGTCCAGCTGGGCCAGCTCGCCTACGTATGGCAGGCCAATGAAAAGGATGATGGATATCGCAGCCGCGTATTCGGTCAGAATGAGTCGGACGTAGCGATGAAACAGTGGTTGCCAGCTTTCCGCTGTGGAGAGGAATATGGCGAGGAGCATTGTTCCCACCGCACCAATTACGGCGTACAGGAAGGCTGCGAATGAGAGGTCTGAGTGTGCTCTTTCCAGCTCTTGGATGGCTTTGTGGAAGTAGATGACACTGTTCAGCAAAGAAAATATTTCTGTGGCGAATGTGGTCACGTATCGCATCGTCCAATCGTGGGCATTGATAATGGCTAAGATATAATGCAGCCAGGCGGAATGGATCAGTGACCAGGCCATGAAAGGCAAAAATGGTATCTACCAAGGACCAGTGTTAGACAGGGTAGTACGGTAATGAGTTGGTGGCAGTCACCTTGAATGCTTCATCGCAAAGCTTGTATATGTTCTCAGCTAGCACGGAAAAAGGTCCGGTGACACCAAGGATAGTCAAGGGCTGGATAGAGAATCTGAAGTCCATACTCAGTATTATCCCCGGAATACTATAATTGATCAAGGCTTCTATGATGTTGACAGCGAAAGTCAAAAGGTTTACAGAATGAAGAACAAGATTATATGAAGGCAAAAGCACATACAGAGAGAATATAATGCCACAAAGTCCTGTGCTGAATACGACTTCGATAGTTCCCCAGCTCTTCCCGGTCAAGACATACAAATCGCTCGCGAACGTGATGCCGGGTAAGAGATTCGTGAAGAAGACGTACACGGCACTGGCAAAGATCAGTTGGTTGAAAATAGTCCAGTCGGATTTATATCGACGGCGAATATTGATGATATCCTGCTTCACCAGCCTGAAAGGTCTTAGAGGACCGCCGGCAGCCACTGAACCTCGCAGCACTCGGAATGGTTTCGGGGTATGTTTGGACGGAGTGATTATGGAGTGGGCATAGTCCTCCGGTGCATCTGTTTCTGAGTCACTTCGCTTCTTGTTCTTCCTCCGCCTTAAAGGGGATCTGTGCCGAACAGATGAACTACGCGTGGATCGTGGTCGGAATGCCGAGATAAGAGACATGGCGGGGTGCCCTCTGTAACACACACACGCCTCGATATGGACCCCTTGTGGGCTATTCAAGGATGAATGCCAAGTGAGCTGGTTCTGTCAGCAGCCAATGGACAAAAGCATCATCCTGAGACCGAACGCAACCCTCGGTCAATACAATGATTGATTGATGACGATAATGTAAAGGAACGGATATGTCGCGGCTTTGTGACCGCCTTCTCTTCCGCTTTCCATTTCTGCCCACCAGCTTTTCGAAATCCTGGGAATTTCCTTGCAATCTGAGTATGAGCCCAGGTCAATTAATATGGATGTCAGTTCTAGTCCCATATTTCAATTGATCCCGTATAACAATCGCTCAAAACTTGTTGTTTTATGATGGCAGCGAAGTTCATTCCGCGCCAGACTTTTCCCCACTATGGATCTATCCCAAGGTCATATTACCTGGGTCATCATCGGGCTGGGTTGAATAAGATGAAAAATATGCTGTCCTCTATTGATTATGTCGTCGAATGCCGCGACTACAGAGTCCCAGTGACCTCAGTGAATCCCATGTTTGAAGAGGCACTGGGGAGCACGAGGCGCTTGGTTGTGTACACCAAGAGAGATCTTGGTGCGGACCCTCGGCCTCCTGTACGGCAGCAGGTAATTTTAAAACTTCCTATCTTAGTCCAGTGGTTGGCACATATATCTCACAGTCTATTCTCCCCGCAGGTCGAAAAGACGATCCAAAGCTTCGACCCCACCAGTGCCGTCTTCTTCGTCAGCTCGTCCTCCCGAAGAGATGTGAGTCCTATAATCAGACACCTCCGGGATGATGCGCAAGGGCCGGATAATCTTGTTGGGAGCCGCGTCATGGTGGTTGGAATGCCGAACATTGGTAAATCGATGTTGATCAATGGTCTGCGCAACTACGGCGTGAAAAGGGCCAAGGCTGCACAGTCTGGGGGTCAACCAGGTGTCACACGGAAAATCGGAACACCAATCAAGATAATTGAGAGGGAGAGCGGTTCTCATGTATATGTGCTGGACACTCCCGGTGTATTTATGCCATATGTCCCAGATGCAGAGAACATGCTCAAGCTAGCACTATGCGGGTGTGTGAAGGACTCGGTGATTTCGTCCTTGACGTTGGCAGATTATTTGTTATACCATATCAATCTGCATGATGAGCGGTCGTATCGGCGGTGGTCTGAGCCAACAAATGAGATTGGTCTTCTCCTCGAGAACTTCGCTCGGTATACCGGCCTTCTGGCCAAAGGCGGAATTCCGAACGTCGACCTTGCAGCATTGACCTTTATCCAAAAATGGCGGTCTGGTGAACTTGGGAAGTTCATCTTGGATGATTTGCAGACTGAACAACACCGGCGTCAAGAGGGATTAACCGAGTCAGCAACCAGTATAACTCAGGCGCTGAAGGCAGATAGGATGGCGAAGAAGGGGAAAGGTCAACAGGACACAGGATCCGAATAATGTGTAAAAAGGGGTTTTCATGTATAAAAGGACGAGCATTGCGCTGGTATCATCAAGGGGCCTTGTTTGCCTTCCCGTCAATGCATCGCATTATGAAAATAACAAAACATGAACGTATACAAGTACCCAAATGCGAAAAAATGAGAATCGACACCCATGACGCCAGTAAAATGAAAATAACAAAATAAAAAGCGACCTGAAACACCTCCGCGAGTGAATCAAGAGATCTTGTCCAAAAGCCGTCTCCTCCGCCGGTCAACGAGTTCTTCTTGTACTTCTTCAAGAGATGGCAATCTCCATTCCATTCCATCTCCTGCATCACCTGGCAGAGGCTCCCACCCATCCTCAGCATCATCTTTTTTCTCGCCGCGAAGATATTTCATGGCTTCTTCCTCTTTTTGCCTCTCGTATTCCACAAGAGTACCATCCTCTTCATCTAATCCGTATCCGAAGTAGTTCGCGTCCACCTTCTTAGTCGCGATATCACCACCACGTCCACGCTGTTCCCCTTCCTCCTCCGCCGGCCCACGACCCCGTCGAGCCGCCGCTTCAAACATCTCCTTCACACCCGGTAAATCCCTAGCGCGACCAAAATATCGATATCCTTTCCCTCCGCCTGGTATTTCCCTTCCCTCCTCGTCGTATACGCGACCCGAGCCTCGCATATAATTCGGCCCGCCCAGGTTCCGGATTTGCATCTCCCACGTCCACTTCTCGCGCATAAGCTTATTGATCTCATCGTTCAAATCCCGAATTTGATAGTCGCTGAGACTCTGTTCATGAATGCGGGACACTTTTCGCGAAATCTCCTTCAGGACCTGGCCGCGCCATTTCTCGCACATGGGGATCGAATCGACCGTCGTGATGGCTTTGGGACGACGGGTTCGCCCCATGTCGATGATGCCCAGATCCGCGGCCTGCTGGGCCCGGAACCGGAAGAGCATCGATTGCGCTTTCTCGCTGTTACGCGCCTGTTGATTGAGAGCGACATGGTTAGTGATTGCCCAACAACGGGTTTCGGGGGACAAGCTGGAGAGGTTTTCCGGATTCGTAAACTAACCATATTGAAAGGCTGTCTGATTAAATCCACCAAGGAGGGTTCTAAGTGTCGCGGAGCGAGGGGAGAGCTGTAGGGACGACAACCTCGTGCCGAAGAGCTTGAAGCCTGAAGCTTGACAGCTCGTAGGTCGGGAAACCGGCGTTAATTTACCCGCGCGGGTAATCATTGACGCGCGGGCCATTAACGTCTAACGAGTCTTGGATATTTATAAATGGTTTAAATTATTTAGAGAGGCCTGTTGGGGTATTTTAATATTGATATTTGAGGTCCGATAGACTAGGGGGGGAACTCCTGCACCGTTGAGGTTTTAACGTAACCAAGGCTGTTTATATATTCCGGCACAGCCAAAATGAGCACGAGATCTACGAGAATTCATTGAACATAAATAATTACATTTAGAACGTATAAAAGTGCCATGAAATCATCAGACATGGGGAAACATCAAATACAAATCGACCGTTCGGTATTAGTCCCCGAAACAGACAGCCTCCAGGACAATAGATGACCAAAATGCACCATTCACCATTACCCGATCAACAGAAATAAGAGAAAAGCAAAAATAGATCATCACCGGCATCGTAGCATATACACATTAATAAAGCAAAGTAAAACCAGGTGGCACTGTCCTTTCAATCATCACATACCCTATCCGACTACCTTTCATATCATGTAGAGCATTCCCTTACAGGAATCCCTTCGTGTTGCTGGGCATCCTCTGTGGAATGTCACCCCCATTACTTCCCCGACGGCTACCGACATCACTGAAGGCGGGAATAGGCCTTCCAACGGCACTCCCCCTTTCACCCCACAGACCCTTCCAGCTATCCAACTCACGTTCCATTCTCAAGCTCTTCTCTTTCTCTTCGCGGAGTTCTCGTTCCGAGCGACGGACGAGGAGCTGCGTTTCGGAGTCACTCTGCTGGAGTTCTTCGATATTTGCTAAGAGGCGCTCGATTTTGTCACGGGATTTGCCGATTTCGTCTTCTAGCTGAGCGTTCATCTTGTCCCGTCTTTCGATCTGGGATTGGAAGTCCTTGACAGTGCGATCAATGTTGCGCAGAGAGCGCTGCTCTGTGGTGTGCTTGTTTTCTTGCTCTTCGAGGTGGGCTTCCAGCTCCTTAATTCGCTTGTGCAGGAAGCGCACATCCTGGCTACCAGTCGAGTAGCTCTTAGTTTCCAGGTCGACGCATCGGAGCTGCGCTTCCTTGAGTTGCTTCTCCAAGGCTGCCTTGTCCTTGAAGAGTTGGGCGTTCGACTCTCGCTCGGCGGTGACCTCCTTCTGCATCTCGGTGCCCAAGGCCTCGGCACGTCTCATCTTGCCAACAGCGGCGGCGGACACGTCTTCCTGCTGGGCAAGCTTCGACTTGAGCTCGAGCAGCTCACGGTCCATGCTAGCGGCATTACGCATGGATGGGCTCTCGCCCTTGGCAAGGTCTTCCAGTCGTTCGCCTGCCTCAGACAGCCGCGTCTCGAGCATCTTCTTCTCCTTAAACAACATGTCTCGCTCGGCTGTGACATCGTCGATGGAAATACGGAGGCTTCTCACCTGGGAGAGGAGAGAAACGATCTTGCTCTGAGCCTCGTTGTGGGCGTCCACAGCCTCATCGCGGGACGTCGTGACATCCTGGAGCGCAATGTCCATGCGCGCCTTCTCCTTGGCCCAGGTCGAGCTGTTGAGCACCTCATTGTCCCACTTGCTGCGGAGGTCCTCGAGTTCTTCGCGAAGACGCGAGTTCTCAGAACGAGCATTGAGCACCTTTTCACGTTCCATCTCTAGCTCGTTGTTCAAAGTCGAGAATTCACGCTGGTATTTCTGTCTCGTCTGCTCCATCGATGTCTCCTTGTCTTCAATGTCAATTGCCCGCTGATTCCTGTAGTCCTCGAGCTCATTCTGGAGACGTTGCTTGGTCTGGAGCGCGCTTTGAAGTTCAGCGGTCTGGTCCTCCATTGCCGCCTCCAGGGATTGACTTTGGCGCTGCAAGTCTTCCACAAGGGCGTCCATCTGCTTCCTTTCAGCCATGATCTGTGCACATGTATCTTCGGCTTCCTGGGATTGTGATTTGGCAAACTGCTCAGCCCTAGTAGCCTTCAAAACAGCAATCTCAGCCTGCTCGAGTTTACTGAAGTAATCGTCTGCACGGCTCTTATACAGACCAAGACTTGACTCGAGGTCAGCAGACTTGGATGTTTCCCCGTCCAATCTGATCTGCAGGTCAGAGAATTCTTGCAGAAGCTGGTTCCTGCTAGCGGCGTCTTGGTCCTTAGCGGCTTGCAGCTCCTGGGTCTCGGAGCGAGCATCGCGAATGTCGACTTCCAAAGTAGCCTTTGCACGTTTGAGCTTCTCAGAGAGGGCCTTCACTTCACCAAATTCAGCCATGGCCTCATTATGTATTTTGAGCAATGATTTCCTGGACAATTCCTGAGAATTTATAAGATCGAAAAGCTCCTCATGCGACTTAGCCTGGATGTCACGCAATGAAAGGTCGCCCGTGCGAATGCTTCGTTCGAGCGACGAAACCTTCTTGGCAGAATCATCGAGTTGGTCATGGAGACGACCATTCTCACGTTCCAACAACTGCGCCCGTCTAGTCGAAGGGCTTTCATCCTGGAACACCTCCTGAGCTGGAGTCCCTTGGTCAACGCGGCTTTGAAGATGCTTGTTCTGCATCTCGCTGAGCTGTAGCTTGTTCTGAAGCTCTTCGATCTCAGTGGCCATATCCATTCGTTTCTGGAAAGCAACAGTATCAACGGTCTTGTCAGAGCGGCCAGAGTCAGGAGCATTATCATTGAAGTTCACTCGTCGGTTAGGCGTTGTGGGAGTTCCGAATTTCTTGAGCACTCCATTGTCGGAATTCTTTCTAACATGCGTTGGAGTGCGGTTACCGACTTGGTTCTGATCGGCTTCCTCCAGCAGGGCGCGCTTAGAAGAATAGTAGCGGGTGTCGAGTTCCTTCATCTCATCACCGTGTCGTTGTCTCATCTCCGCAAGTTGGCTCTCAGCCCGACTGTACTTCTCTTCGGTAACCTGCAACCTGCTTTGTGTTTCGTCCAGTAGTTGTGCTAGATCGACCTTCTTCGACAGATCGGGCTGAACTTCCTCCCAAGACTTATGTGCCTCGTCATCCGGAGCGAAGACCTTGTGTAACGTCGTAAGCTTGCGGTGAAGGTCTTCTATTTCCTTATTCGCCCCATCGAGTGAGCTTTGCAGCTGTCGGGTGTTTGCTTGCGCTTGCGAGCGCAATTGCCTCTCAGTCTCCAGCGATCTGTTCGCTTCCGCGAGCTGAAGATTGGCGGTTGAGGCGGCCTTTTCGGCGTTCCGACTGTTCTTGTGCTCCCTGTTGACCTCATGGTTCAGGTCTTCTAAGCTCAACGAGAGCTTCTCTTTTTGCTTCTCCAAGGAGGTGATAGTAAGCTGCAGGTCTCCTAGCTGGTGCGACAACTTCTTGTTTTCGTCCTCGACCCTAGCCTTCTCCTTCTGAAGGTTGGTGATGCGCATCCGCTGGTTATCACTGGCCCGAGAATTTGACCTCGCGATGTCAAGGTTCTTTTGCTGGATCTTAGTTAAGAGAGCCCGATTGTCGTTCTCCGACGCCGTAAGTCTGCCTTTGAGGGTCACCAGTTCCCGTTCCAAACGTTCCTTGTGTTGATCATGGCGGATACGGAAGTTGTCGGATTCTGCAATGGCGTTGTTAAGCTCTTGAATTCTGTTCGACAGACGCGCGCGTTCTGCTTCGCCCTCTTCGTACAGGCGTGTCTTCTCTTCGAATTCTGTGCGCAAGCTACTCAGGCGCTGATCGGCTTGCTGCATGATCTTTCGTTCGATTTCACTCTCCGCATTCAAGCGCGCATTTTCGACATTGGTGAATCGATCCCGAAGCCTTATCAATTCCGTTTGCAATTCTTTGCGTGACTGCTCAGCCACCACACGAGCTTCCGTGGCGCGTCGCAGGGTATCTTGTTGGATGTACATCTCTTTTTCAATGGTTATCTTGGCGTCATTGAGAGAGGTATATTTATCCCTGAGCTCAGCAAGGTTATGCTCCGCCAGCATTTGTACGTCGTCTCTGGACTGGCGCTCGCGACTCAGATCAGCTTGCGCCTGGAACAGTTGGCTCTTGAGGTCCTGACTTTGCTGCTCCAGAAGTTTTCTGCTTTCCCCAGCTTCAGCATCCTCGGATATTTTCTCCTCCAAAAGGTGCTTCACGTCTTGCACTTCTTTCTCCAGCTGAAGCTTTTCGGACATCATGGCATCCATTTCCGCTTGCAACTCACGAAGACGATTTTGCATGTTATCATGGCGGGTAGTGAGCGAGTTCTTTTCAAGCACCAACTGCTGCTTATCTTCCTCGTGCTTTCTGACGTCGTTTCGCAAAACAGTCATCTCGCTCTCTTTGCGCCGTAGCATCTCTTCGTAGCCAGTCGAAGTTGCGGAAAGATCGGAGATCTGGTCCCGAATGGATCGGTTCTCATCAATGAGTTCCTTGTTTCGTTCCTTGGACTGCTCAAGTTCCTTCGAGGCCTGCGCGAACTTGACGTCGAGCTCCTGGTCTGTCTTCAACAACTTCGCTTCCAGATCCTGTAGCTTGCGATCTTTCAGTGTCAGGTGGCTTTGCAACATCTCCACGTCCTGGCTGATTTGCTCGAGGTGCTGTTCCTTTTCGATGGATTCCGTCTCCGTATTAAGTAGCTTTTGCGAAACGGCTTCAAGATGCGACTGCAGCTCGTTCTTCTCAGCTTCTAGGCGTTCAATGATTTCTCCTGCCTGCTCCAACTGCGTAAGCCGAAGGTCGAGCTGGTCGTCTGCTCTCTTCTTGGCATCGATGAGCTCGTCCAGCTGGTCTTCCAGGCTCTCCTGGTCTGCAATTGCCCCAGCCAGTTTTTCGCTCAGCTCGACTTCCCGCATCTGCAGGCGTTTGAAAATTTCTTCTTTGTCGAGTGCCAGAGCTCGTTCGCTTTCGAGGACTTGTTGGATCTTCTGAATTTCGACCTCCGTGCGCCGCCTTTCTTCCTCCAGCTTATGACGGTCGGACAAGTCCTGTTCCATCTTGACCTCGAGTTCTTGGATCTTTTCGTCTCTCTTCTTAACTTCGTTTGCACTTCGCGTCTCACCCAACAGAGGCTTCATTCTCGAGAACAAGCGCCACCACGGGTCGGCCTTCATATCAAGATAGACATGGAAGTTATGCTGAATGATTCGGGTGGCCTCTGCACGGTACAGCCGTTTATTCGCGATGCGCCGAGAGAGGAAACCACGGGCAACGGACTGAAAGCGGCCCATGATGTTCCGGATAAGTTGATCGCGCTTCTCTTCGAGCTCAGCCAGAACACCAGCTCGGAAGAACACCTTCGTCCGACCAACCCGGTACCAGGTCCTATCCAATCCCAGTTTGTCCAGCATAGTTCGGGTGGCAGATTGTCCATCCAGATAACCCTTAGGCATGTCACGGCAGAGAACTTCATAGCGTTGTCGAAATTCGGAGAATGGCAAGCGGTTGGGGAATCCTGTACGCGCAATTCGAATACCTTCAAGCACACCATTACACCGCAGTTGATCCAAGACGAGAGGAGCATTCAACAACTTGGGTCGTTTTTTGTGGTTGGGTATGATACAACGAACGAAATGAGGATGAGTCGAATTCAGCTGGGTCATGAGACTAGAGAGTTGTTCCTTGTGTCTCTGGGCAACTGTTCGGAAAAGACCCTTCTTCACCCTGCTCTTAGGGTACTCCCCATCGTCTTCTCCGTCTCCACAATCCGAGAAGAGGCTCGCGATATGGCTATCTCTTGAACGTGCAAGTAGACGAGTGACATTGTCGTTCAATGGGTCCTTGTTCTTCTCCAGCCAGTCTTGTGTATCATACTCAACATCCGCAGCATAGTGGGTGAGAACAAAGCCTTGATTCAAGCGAGCGGCGCGGTATTTAGGAGTCTTACGATCCCACAATGAATGTAGCTTCTCGGTGAATGACTTGTCCGTGGCTTTTGGCATAACACAGTCCTCGTCGAGACATGAGAAGATACCAATAGGGTTCGTCAGCTCGATCAGATCGATCGTAGGCTGCAAGTCTCTTCCAAAGTCAATAAATTGCCATTCGATCTGTTCTCGTGCGTATTCCTCCTGTTCAAGCACAAACATATGGTGGTTAAAAAACTGTTGCAGTTTTTCGTTGGTGTAGTTGATACAAAGTTGCTCGAAGCTGTTGTTGTCGAAGATTTCGAAACCAGCAATATCAAGAACTCCAATGAAGCAGTTACCCTCACTGGCCATGGTGCTGCGGTCCAGCTGGTTATTGATCCGGGACACGAGGTTCCCAAATCCTCGCTCGTAGATACCTTTCGCTAGGGCATCCAATGCTAACCGGACTTGTTCTGGTGTTTGGACCTTCTCCACCCATTCACGGCCTGCTTTTACTTTAGGATGAAGAAGTCCTTTAACAAACTCATTCGGTGCAATACCAAGCAGATGACAGGCCCGTTCAATGCTGTTGAGTGAATCTGGGCCCAAGGCAGCTTGATCGGCCCGTATGCTTTCTTTCACGATAGTCACATTACCCAGGTGGAGGACAGCTGCGATCGTTCGGAGAATGCACATTTGGTCTTCTTGTGAAAAGCTCATGACATGGAAGGCCTCAATCAATGAATTCCATTCTTCCACATCAGACACTCCTGCAATGGTGTCATTTCCATCCCTAGTGTATGCAAAGTCTTCGATTCCCAAATCCGACAGAAGCAAATTCCTCCGTAACTCTCGGTCGGCACCCTGTAAAAGTTGATAAAAGACGTGGTAATTCCGTTCATTTGGGTTCGGTTTCACAACTCGAGATTTTTCCAGGAGGTACCAGTCAATCCAAGCGCCAGAGATTTGGCCAGACCGCGCGAACTCGATTCGAATGAACTTCCCAAACCGCGAGGAATTGTTATTTCTAACAGTTTGCGCATTACCGAAGGCTTCAAGGATGGGGTTCGCTCTCAGTATTTGCTGAGACAATGCCGACAATTGTTTTGATCCCGAACGAGGTGCTGAACGAACGTACGGAGTATCCGAAGTAGCGACAGCTGCGAGATATTGAATGACTTTCTTGGTGTTCTCCGTTTTACCTGCACCTGATTCTCCACTGTTTCCATTTCAGTTAGGGCTTAAATTGGACAAATCAACTGGCGACTTACGTCACAAGAATACTTTGGTTCTCGCCTTCCTCAACCATGTTTCTAAACGCCTGATCTGCCATGGCAAAGATATGTGGTCGCGTTTCCTCCCTGCTTCGTCCCTTATACATCTTCACATATTCGGTGCTGTAAATTGGCAATGGGCAGTACGGATTAATTGTTACCAAGAACAGACCCGAATATGTCTAGATAAATATGTCAACGCAAGGTCCTTGAAGCTCATCGAATATCTCTTGTGTGTACTGACATAAATGAGATCCGCCTGGTAACGGGTATGCAGGTTATGAACAACCGAAGCTTCATTCAAGTGTGTGAGTTCCGCCATATCGTCCGCTTTATCGAATTTTGCCGGATTGACCTTGTCGACCTGGTGGGAGTCCACTTCCCGTGGCTATGGAAAAAAAAAGGGGGATCAGTCAAAGGAAGCCTTATCGAGCTGTCATAAATCGTACCTCGCCGTAATCCGGCTGGACCAACAGCCGCCCATCTTGTCCCTCTTCTAACACCAACCCGCGTACGAATGCCTTTTCAGGATCCCGTAGCCACACGTACTTATTACCCGAAAAGTCATTTTCACCCTCCAAACCCCGGATTTGATCTGCCCCGCGTCGCAATTCCTCCGACTTGATAAATTCGGGTGCAAACGTTCCAGTGGTCGCATGATTCCGCAGAGAATTCGATCTGTCCCGATTCCCGTGTGGTGAAAGGGCAGTCGGTGTGAGTTGAGTAATGGATGCAGAGTTTCGATAATGGCCCTTGGACCCATCGATTCTGCTTGGTGATGTTATAATCGCCGACCTTGGCCGTGCGGAACCATTCTGGCCTCCAGGCGATGGAGTTGGGGAGGTGCGACCAAATGGATTGGCACGCTTTGGCGAGCTTAACTGAGAAGGAAACATAATTTTCTTAGGGGCTTCAATGGCGCATCATCTAGGAATAAGCTCGGATCCTATAGCATTCAATGTCATGAGAAACTCGAGTCTATCAATATCTCCAACGTGGAGTTTCCATCCAGCAGGGCGGTGACAGAACAAAGATGATAGAATAGGAAAACGGGGAGCACATACAACCGAGAAAGAGAACGGGGGGGGGCAGAGAAGTAGTTGGAAGACGAGAACAAGAAGATCTCTCTTGCTATTGCCGTCTTGTTCTCTTTCCTTTCTCTGCCCGACGCTGTTTGTTTACGCCCTGCGTTCCTCCGGCCGCCGAGTGTCGATCTCACGCTAGTCCCGATTCGCGGGCGAATTCATCACGTGCGCACATGGCAACCGCGAAACTTCATCTTTTTCTCTCCGGGCGCTGGTTCGACTCTGCACGGTGAATACAACCTCGGTTTTTTGGTTGCTTTTTTCCTCTTTTGTTTCATTTTGTTGGATTTCGTTCTTCGCCATCTGGTCTGGAATACCCAGAAACCGTTTAAAACCGGTCGCTGCTACTGTTCTGCGTAAATCATTGGGATATCTCCTGTTGGACTCTCCTTGGCCGTTTTTCTCAACTTTGATGATGTGCGACGCCTGAATACGCTGTAGTTCTTCCAGGCCATCTCTTGACTCACTAACCAGCAGTGAATTCACCGTTCCTCGTACCTCCATGCTGTACTGATAGACTGTGCAGTCGATAATGTCAAACTATACCTCTACGCCGTCGTTCGGGGGGTCCTCGAATCAATGGCCTCCCACGAATCCTCTACAATCTCCAATGCCTTCGATATTCCCGTCTAATCTCCCTTTCCCTCCGCATTCATCTGGCACCCAGAATGCTCCCAGCAATACGAACAATTTTGAAGCGAACTCGCGTCTTCCGGGTCTCGGGGTTGGTGCTCCTGGGCCATTACCTCCGCCGCCCTTTCCTTTCCCGGGTTCATTAACACCTTCCCAATTTCCTCCCGCCCCTTTTCCTTTACAAATGCCTCTGTTGGGCTATCCATCGATGCCTCTTCCGGTGCAGACACAAACGAATCCGCCAGCGACAAGTGAAAACACGCCAGGTCACACCGTAAACGCGATGGGTCGTCGACAGGATTACCCGGCAAAACCGAGATCTAATTATGACCAGGAAGAAGGCGAACTCACGGATGGAGAGAATATGGGCTTTGCGCGCCCGGGGACTGAGAAGAAGGGCCAGCCTGGGCGCGTTGTAAGCGCGTATTCCCGCCCTGTCCAGATGGAGACCGACGCACTGAGTAACAATTCAACAACGAACGACTTCACTCAAAGCCTTCCCAGGAACTCGGAGGAGGATGAAGCTTCTGTCTCGCGTGCTTCCTCCAGAGCTAGCGGATCCCGTATTATCCCCGCTTCCTTTTAGAAGTCATTACTCGACTAACTCGGTGCAGCCTATAATCCTCCTATGTCGGTTACCGCTGCCTCTCCTGTACCTGAGCACAGATCTGGATATAGCGTCAACGAGCAACCAACACCTCCAGGCCAATATAACGAAAAGGAACAACCTTGCGCTCACTCCAATTCCAGAAAGTCGCCAGATCAACTTCGAATTCAGGCACAAGGCGCCCTTCTTGGTCTTGCACCTCACAACATTCGCTTTGAAGAGCTGGTGGGAGAAGGCATTAACCCGGTATTGCTTCGACAGTTATATGAAGAGGTTGGCATCAAAGTTCCCACGCTGCCTATTGCATCAGAGGAACAGCCCCAACCAGCAGCGACTGGGCCTGTGTCATTCACCAATGGAGTGGGCCCCGCGCAGAGACAAGGGACAGATTCGACAACGAAAAGTTCAAGTGATTTACAACAAAGTCCTGTAGGACGTCCCGCCTCTGCTTCCCAGTCAGACACCACGAAGCCAATGGAGCGTAAAGAAGTCATCGCTCGTATGCTTGCGGCAAAAGCTGCCAAAGTTCCTGGTCCATCTCCGTCGCCTCAGGATGTTTCCAAGGAAATGTCAACGGTTCCCAGCACAGTGGCACCGTTGAGTGAAATATCTGGCAAGGAAAAAGAAATTCCTGTTAGAGAAAAGAGCAAGGCTCAAACTGAACTGGCAAGGCAGCGAATTGAGCAACTTAAGAAGCAAGGATTGATGAGAAACCAGAAAGCACAGCAGGAACACGCTTCTCAAGACCAGTCGTCGCAAACTGCCGCACCACCTCCAAGCGTCCCTATTGCGGGGCAGCATCCATTACCTGAACGGCCTCCCGAACGTGAGGTTTCTTCTACTCGTCTTCCCGGTCTATTCATGACAGGGTCAGACCAGCTTCCAGCTCCTAACCCTCATGCTACGCCAATTCAAAATCTTCCACTTGACCCGACTCCGCAACCCCGAGTAACTCAACGCAAACGTCCTCGCGCATCCGATTTTGACGAGATCAATGATTTTTCGAGAAGGGATTTCAGTCATGGTGCGGGGGATGCGGCTCCCGGGGATAGGCTTGTGATAGACATCAGTGACGATGAGTTCTATGAAGAAAACGAAGATGATGAAATGGATCTTGAAGAGCCCCAATCGCATGGGAACATTTCATCGTCCGCCGAATTCCCTACGTTTCTGACTCCTCGAAATAACGACCAGGAACACCTTCGCCAGAAGGATATGGAAATACAAGCAATGCACCGCAGGATTGCAGAACTTGAGCAACGAAAGAAAGCTAAACTAGATGTTAATTACTTTCAATCTCCTCGTGCTACCAACACCTCATCTTTACCTATCACAAACCATTCGATGGATGTGGACCTCGAATCAGACGATGTTACTCCAGCGGGGCCCACAATTGCGAATGAGCATAATGACGACGGCGTTGGCGTTGGTATCGGAGCCGCACTCCTGGAACAAGAAACTTCCTGGCGGAATGGACCTATCGCTGTCCCGCCGACGAAACCCCTCGCCTCGATGGACTCAACAGAGTTGCAAACGATACGCTCCAAAATCCTTCGCAAACAAACAATTGAATCGGGACTTCCCGAATTGGATGCTGAAATAGCGAGTTCTGAGGCGAAGTTATTTCTGCTAAAGCAAGAGGAAGATAATACGCTTTCGACAATTGCAAAGGGGAAACAGGGACGTCGGCAGCTTATTCGCGAGTTGGAAGAGTTGGGCATTGAAATCAATGGCTTGACGCTCAATGAGCTTGACGCAGCTCAAAGCAAATTGGAAAGCGACGAAACATCATTGCCTGCAGAAAAAGGTACGTTTTTTGTGTTTATCATTCAGCATCCCTTTGTCCTAATTTCGATACTATGGCATTGGCCTGAATTCACGAACTTATTTGCCTTCTCTAGCACCACCACCCTTGGCACCGATTGTAAACGAGGATGGTTTTCCCATGGCAGATATTCCTTTGCCTACGGAGAAGGGCCGAGAAGAACCCCAATCCATTGAAGAAACAAGACCGGTCGAGCAAGAATCACAGGCGGAGCCAGACCATCATCCGACCCTTCCTGCCGATTTCGAACGGGAAGCATCACATGCGTACTCTGATTCTACAGGGTCGTCAATGGATGAGTCTACGGATACCTCCAGTGTCAGCTCCGACTCCGATGGTCAGGAAGAATCAATCGACGAAGACGTGCGTAGCCCTGGGCGTGATTTTGCTGAAGATGCGGAAACGCCCGCCGGAGATGAGGAAACACAAAAGGAGGCTCGCACAAAGAGCCACCCACTTTTATCTGGATATGCGCCAGCTCCCGATTATGGCTCGTCGGGAGAAGAATCTTATGAGCCTGGTGACGTTGACGGAGATGATCGCATGTCTTCTGCCGAATCAGAGGGGTATGAACCACCAGAACCAGAGCAGGATTCAGGCTCAGTGGAATCTGAATATACGCCGCCTCCTCTTAGCGGGGAAGAACCCGAAGTGTCTCCCGGACCTCTTCCTAATCAGTCTCAGACTGAGCCACTGACGGGAGATAGTGCGGACTCAGGTCATTTGCAGGTTGGGGCCACTTGAAGATGACTCGAGCTATCTATAAAGCATGGAATAGCTGACATGCCTTCTAGAATGCGCCGGAAGTCCAGGTCCCTGACCATAAGTTCACGCCGTACGAAAGCCCGCTCAGGCATTTCAAATCCTATCGCTATCACCCCAACTACTCTGATCTTGTTTCAGAAGGTTATCGTTCTCTAACTTACAGTCACAATATTGATTCCATGAAACACCTGTGCCCTTTCGAATCGGCGGGTGGTGTATGCAATGACCGTTCTTGCGAATATCAACACTTTCGTGACATGACTCTAAGCGGTGCGTCGACAGATTTGAATTGAAACCATATGCAGCATTTTCTGCATGCCAGCACATACTCTCCCGTCTTCCTTTTCTTTCTCCCATCGCGTTTGTTGTTATCATATCCGATGCGTGGCCCGACTTCAGTCGTGTGGATGCTGACGCGCAGTTCTTAATGCCTGTTTACAGATGACAAAATCCTGGTCCAAATGGGGTCTCTCCGAGAAGGCAAAACCTCAGAGGAGAAAGACCAGTACATTTCTGGCTTGAAGCAAATCATCAATGACATGCGGCGTGACAAGGTGAAAGACTTTAACACCGTGGCGACAGAAATTGCCGCATATCGTAGACGCTTCCTTCACGATCCAACGCGGGTCCTGCCCTTGTAACAGGCTTCGATTTACGACATTCGGGTTCTTCGACGACTGACTAGCTGAGCTTTTGCTTCATCATATCCATTAAGGTGAGCTGTTGACACTGTTATCTGGAGTCAATGACTTGGACGCTGCTCATGGGCATGAAGAGCTCTTTGTGTGCCGATAGTCTACTTCATCAGACTACCACGTCTCTTTGGTGATGTTCATAACATCACAAGCAACTTTTTCTTTTTTGCCTTGTTCTTTTCTTTTCGAACGCTTCTTCATTTATGACACACCTGGCTCGTTCATTACTGGAACGAAACATTTTTTCTTCGACTCTACATATTAGCAAGCGCGGCGTTTCTTCCTTTGGGTCATGGATAGTTACACTGTTTATCAACATTTTGCTGCTTGGCATAAGAGTTGATATACGGCAGAAAGAGAGAACCGACGGAAAAGAAAGAAAGAAAAAAAGAAAAGAAGAATTTCGGAGCAGCGTCGACAGTTCTATCGACCACTGGATAATGCTATAGTGTATAAATACTATGCTCGGCCGGAGCAAAAAAGGACTGTACAGCATGGCGTATGGGATCTAGGGTACATAGCAATAGTGGTGAAATGTATCAACATATTCGATTACTGCTTTCCTCAAAACTATACATTCTGGCCGTAAAGATATAGCAAGGCGTAGGGCTCCAATCTTGAAGCCATCATCTTCGTTTCGTATAAGCATCACATGTTAAGTGCTATTTAGAGTCTCTGGTGCATTCAACCGTGTAACCTCCCTTTGACCGCTATCGAGGATTGGGGCAGTGTACTACGATGTGTTATGGATGCGCGCATTGGAGAGGTAAAAGACTCCACGGGATCAACAGGGGGTTATTTCTGTTCGTTTGGCCCCCGGACTATGATATACTCCGGATTTACTTTAAGATAATAATAGCAATCTGATCAACGATGATTCACCGGTTCAGTACATAGTCGGGCGCTTAATAGTAAGCAGGCCACAAGTCATTGCCATAAGGCTGACTTGGAAACATGGCATCGTGCAACACATGAAATAATAATGTTACTATTATTATTGATGATACTAATAATAATAGTCTATTGATTATTGTTTTTTTTTTTTTTTTTTTTTTTTTTTTTTTTTAAAAAGAAAAACCAAAAGAAAATAGTCGTATAACAACATATGTAGTAAGTTAGCATAGCAAGGACTCGGCTAAGCTAGTATACTCCTACCCGTTCTGTATACTGGGCGTTACAACACATACACAGCCCACCCCGTATACTCGAAAAACGCCCAATGATGACATAGACTTCTCCCAGTAACTATTAGCTAGCAATTCACCCAGTAAACACGAAAACACGAACAAAGAAAGTATCTATAGTAAATGAACAAGTCAAAGGGAGTAAGCAAATGTACCGCCAGTTCGTCGTGTATCTGACAGCCACACCCGCCAGAAAGAACGGTGGATAATGAATCAGAAACAACTCGATCGACGGCCGGGAATTGAGAAGAAATGCGGCTATGATTCGATTTAATCTATGTATGCACTACTGTGCTATGTGTGCATAGTAGTGTATGCAGGTAGCTGGATTGGGATGAAATGCGGCTCTTTCTACTGACGACAGACTGTCAATCTACGGGAGATGGATTTCTACAGCTTTCTTTGGATGAAAAAAATATATATGTTGAGTCAATAGTCAAAAATACATACATCATAGCATGAACATAACAATCATTCTCGTGACAGTGATGATTATTATTGCGGTGGCTGTATCTTAGCCCCCATTTGTTGTTTGTTCGTACATGCGAAAAGAAAGCATAAAACCGAGAAAATCCGAAAAAAAAAAAAAAAAAAAAAAAAAAAAAAAAAGAAAGAAAGCAGAACAGAATAAACCAAACAATTCTATCGCTCAAATAAATCCATGCAATCCCAGAATGTCAAAAATAGAAAGAAAAGATAAAGAAATTCCAAACTCCCAGACACAGATGTGTCTATGCTCGTGCCGTATTCGTCGTATCGTAAGAAAGGAACCAGTCCAGTAATAACACAAAAGTAGTCAAAACATGTCGTTTAAGCCATCAGGCGCAGCAGAAATCCTGCAGGTCAGAAGCGTTAGCTTTCCTTCTTCCTTTTTGTCGAGGGTCTCATTCAAGGACGAATTGCGGTGCTTACCTGTTCTTCACTGAACACGAGGCCTGCCGTTTTAACTTACTTGCCTGCTGGTATGCAATTGCTGCAAGCAACATGGTTGCACATCACGCAGCGTGGCTGGACGTTGTAGACCTTGGGTCCGTCATTGCATTGGCAGCAAAAATACATGTAGGTTGCGCCATGGTTCCTGATTCCAGAATGGCCTCCTGAACTGAGACCTTGGGCGAGCGACAGACCCGGAGTAAAAGTCGTGTTGTTTGCGATGGGCGCCGTTGTGCGTAGTTGATTTAATGATGTACCGGTGCAGCTCTGAACAGGAGTAGATGGGTAGGCGGGCAATTCATGAGAGCAGCTGTGCGTTGTGTTGCAGTCGGGGGTGTTGACCTCAAGGGAGCAGTCATCGCAGCGCATAGTACCGCATTCGATGCAAGTGTTGTGAAGCTCAACGCTGTGAGGGCCGAACTGACAGTCACAGCAATACCAGGTGCAAGACATGATTGGGATTATCTGTTGACTTTGTGGATCTGAATAGAAGGCTGAAATGGTGGGAAAGGCGTTGGAATTGCTTGGAACTAGCAAATATAAGTATTCAATGAAGCTTTCTTGCTGTGTGATTGTGATTGAGATGAAGAACAAGAGATATGAGAAGGAATTGAGGAGGTTTAAATATTGAGGCATCCTCAAGGCCAACTCTGTCAGTCCCTAGGCGGTAATGCGCAGGCATCCAAGCCCCATACAACCGTTGACACTGGGTCCCATCAGAGCGATCCTCCATTGGTCCCTCGTAGGGGTTCGGGCAATTGGTAGTCCAAAGAGGCTTTGCGGGTCATCGCCCTTGCCCTGAATGAGCCCCGGTAGGAAGAGTGGGTGTGTCTAGAATACCACAGGAGTTCCTGAATCACAGACAGGATCACCGCCAAAATGTCAGGCAGGTTGAGTCAAACTCATAGTAAGATGCACTGAAACACCGTGGAAAAGGCGGTATTCACAACGCACAAGGCTTGGACATTTGTCCATAGTCAGCGTGGTTCTTGCTGTCATCATCGTCATTATGCCCGGTCACGTTGCCCGAGAACGAAAACAACAGGGGGGCCACTGTGTCATTTCGGGGTTATCCGTTTAAACCGTCTAGAGCGTCTGATATTTTAATTCAGTTTTTTTTTTTTTTTTTTTTTGCGCTCCATAATGTTGCTCATTTTTGCATATTGCAGGAGTTCTGTGGATGGTTAATGCCTTGTCAGAGCCTCGACCTCGTGTGAACCGGCAGGTCTCCACTTAACAGCCACAAATCGCAGGCAGACAACCGGCCCTCATCGTTGCGAACAGAAGACTAGAGAACAAAAGAGAGAAAAGGAGTCATCGACATGAGCTGAAGATCTTCAATCCGTTAGAATCTTGGACGCTGAATGGATCGACACCTCGAAGGATTCTCTAATAGACACCTGTGAATCAGTCGGACATTCCGTGAGTATACGAACTCGCCTACTACATCAACGCGCATCACAAATCAGGTGATTGCTGCCTAAGCCTTCTATTTCGACAAGTACGGAGTACACATTTTACTTTTTTGGGTTCCCCGACTCTGGAATTATTACTCATTCTCTCCATGTTTCATCTAGCCTGAGAGAACCCCCAAAATTGCCTACTCAGCCACTGGTTTTCAACCCCCGGTTTGCTCCTGGTAATCCATCCGTTTCAAATTGAGCATTCTCTTGTGCTTACGACAGCTTAAAATATGCTACACAGAATTGGCATCATGGGGAACAACAATAGCCCCAATATGCTTATTCGCTTGTCTCAGATGTCAGTCTGTTCCTGGTCGATAACGGGTTGGTTCATCGCGTCTTACGGCAAGTAGCCCATTATCATAATTACTCAAGGCTATTAATAAATCTATACGCTGCTAAGGCTGGGCGGAATACCAATTATAGTATGGAGTAAAGTAAGATAGATGTGTTCTCATGCCCTGGTAAAAGAAAGAAAATGTATTCGAGGATGTTAATAAAAAAGTGGGTCGACTAAGCTGTGGTGCACTTAATATAAATTAGTACAAGAATCCAAAATGCTTACAATAACTTGAAATGTAGCTCCTGTGGCGCAATTGGTTAGCGCATGAGTCTTATAGAACACTCACGAAACGTGATGTACTATGATTGCGGACTTCTCAAGGTTGTCGGTTCGAGCCCGACCAGGAGCACTTTTATTTTTTTTTAGTTTCTCATTACCACATGAATTATGCCCTGGCTCGTATTATGCCGCTCAACCGACCGCCTTTGTGAACTTGTCCAAATCTTTGTCCGCTGAAGAGAAAATCGGTTGAGATTTTGAGTACCAACAACGGTCATCGATTTGACAAGAACGAATATTGACACATGGCCATTGAAAGGAATATCGAGATGAGTCGGTCGAGCGTGAAAACCAAATAAATATCAAATGCGGCCCCGAGAGACTTCGACTAAATCAGGGTTAGGGTTACGTCATGTGATTTTATGCAAGTATATATGTATTATTAATAATATATTAATGCCTAAGCATAAACATAAGCCCCCTACTCGTGACGTCTTCGTGAAGCTGTTTGTGCTGTTTGCACCTACTCCGTATCAGCATTTGTTCCTGATCAATGCGACGCCCGTCGTCAACCTTAGATTCCCCCCCGAGTTAGCCTTGCTGGCTCTGTCGCGTATGGCAGTAGATGCGACATTTTTAAATTAACTCATTCCCCTTCTTTTCATCATACCTCGTCCACTATTTCCTGTTCGATTCATGAACAGTTTAAGCGAATGCTTCCTCTTCGAAGAATTGCAGCCTAGTTTAGACCATTGCCCATGGCGGCGGCGGCTGGCCCGGACAGGCGTGTCAACCTCGCGGTTGCCAAAATCATTCCTCTCATCCTGTTAGGCATCGTGATTTATGCCTGCTATGCTGTCACCAAGCAACTATGCAGTAAGTCATATTGTCTCTGGTCTTGCATCGGAGTTATCCTACCGGATCGCTTTTTGGACTAATCACATGGAACCCAAAAGTCGATTATCTGATTGATCCTATTCCGCACCATTACAATCGAAGTCCCCGGATCGGCGCTGGTGCCGCTATCATCGTCGTTTTCTATGTATTGCTCATCCCGGTACTCGTGACTTATTTACGGCTTTTTTACAATGTCGCCTGGAACCCCGGCTTCCTTCCGCGGGGCGCGCCGTCCATTGAAGATCAGGATGATAATGGATCCCGATCTTCAAACCGACGTCATCGCAAACACCGGAGGAGGAGGAGCAGTCGGTCACGTGGGAGGACAACTGAGAAGACCGATAGAAATGACATGGACCCGGATGTCGAAGGGGGGTTGGATTATGCCGCTGGGGGGAAGGCGTACCCCCTGAACTCGGGGGGCCTTGAGAGCTTCTACACCAAGGACGTGTTTATCTGTCAGCCCGATGGGAGGCCATCATATTGTTCTACATGTTGCCAATTCAAGACGGACAGAGCGCATCACTGTCGCGAAGTGGACCGATGTGTCCGTAAGATGGACCACTTTTGTCCTTGGTATGTTACTCCGTCTCTCTGCTACTATCGATGAATGCTGACCATTAGAAGGGTTGGGGGTGTAGTTTCCGAGACTTCGTTCAAATTCTTTATTCAATTCGTCTTTTACACGTTCATATTCTGTACATTCGCTCTCATTGTCTGCGCAGTGTTTACTGCTGAGTTGAAAAGGGAGGAAGGTCGAGCGAATCCCCACTGGGCAGTTGGTATTGGATTGTAAGTCTTCGATTTCTGCTCGGCCTACCGGTCATCTGTCTAATATTATGTAGGAGTGGCTTGTTTGGCTTATTCACTTTTGGAATGACTATCAGCTCTCTCCAGCTTGCCATGCTGAATCTTTCAACTATTGAGAACCTCAACCGTCGATCTGCTGTTTGGACGTTGGCTATTCGTATACCGGATCACATTTTGAACAAGCTCAACACACAGTGGGCTCCAACGTATCGTACTATTACATACCCCCTGCAGCCCGTCCCCTCAGAGTCACAGACTGCTCCGCCTCCGACATATCCCACAACCGGAGAGCGTCATGTTTTTGCCATTCTCCAAACATTACCTGGAGAGAATCCGTTTGACCTGGGAAGTCCTCTCAGGAACCTTCAGCAAGTATTGGGATACACCATCTTTGACTGGCTGCTCCCATTCAAGTATAGTCCTTGTGCGGATCATAGCAGCCTAGAAAGCGCATTTGTTCTTGGACCCGTCGTGACTCGTCTAAAGAGGGAAGCCGGTCTTGAAGCATCTGCTGAAGGAGAGGGCTCTGAATCAGGTAACAGACGATCGAGGCATCATCGAAAACGAGGGAAAAGTCGACGACGCCACTCTAATATCTGAGCAATCCGATAATATCTTCAGCTTGCAAATAACTTGTTGCATTGTTTCGTTATTCGAATTTCAAGCGCGCAAGGCTATTGGCATAGAGTGGAGTACATGGAGTTGTCTTTCATCTTTTGGTTATACCTCCCAGTACCAGGTTACTTCTTTGCATATTCATTACTTTATCAAGTTTTAATTTCAAACTTTGGATTGGTCTTCAGGATAGAAATGTTCATAATATTTCGCTCAAAGCAAAGTACGACCAGACCAAATCACATTAAGGGAGAGTAACGCAACCCTCGCAATGCTCATGAGAACATAGCGAACATCTCTCCGGGCACAGATGAGGGTTATTCATCCCCTGGCAAGTGCAACAAACCCACCACCCGGCCAGCGACGGCCGTATCATATTGATGGGATGGTCATGTTCATCGAGCGCGCCACATCTTTGATGTTTATTATTGAACTGTAGCGTCGCTGGTTGTCTGAATGCGATGGCGTTTTGTCGGATATTGCTTCGTCGTCGAGGTTGAGGGCGTTGAAGAGGGGTATGAGGAGGTTCTGGTTGAGGCGGGATCGATGTCGATATCGTTGGCATTGTAAATTCCATCCGGGACTGAGTGATTTGTTTCTCACTATCGAGCGAGGACTTTGAGACTCGCCTATATTGGTATTTATTTTTCTTTGGCTTTGCTTTTGAGGTGTGGTGGATATGGAGTGATTCAATTTATCTAGCTCTTTCAACTACATTACTTCTTCATATATATACCCTGCTTGTACACCTCAGACTGAACCGATATTATAATAATGTCAATCTGAAGAATAGTGAAACAATTAGGCAGAGAGCATTTGCTGTCTTGTGTTTTCTTTTCTTTTTTTTCATCTTATTTCTCCATTCCCTTGAATTCCTTTTTATCCGCTCTCCCCACGTTGTTTGTTTGTCTTGATGCATAATACATACAATAAACATAGTCATACTATAAAATCAAATCCGCAACTGCGCGCTTGAATGGCCATCAGCTCGTCAGTCAGCCAGAACGGTTTTATATAGTTATGCCTGATCGTACTCGTATGGTTGCCTGGGATTAATCCATCAGGTAGCCAATTTTCTAACCTTTCACATCGTCACGGGATCCTAATACTACGTATATCATACATACATGTGCATAGAACTTAGGCAAAAAAGAGCAGGGATATCATGTACCCTTACAAGTATGCAGGAATGGGATGCATCAGTTATTCCATTTCCCGTGCACATGCTCCGATAGATTCAACGTATCGGATATTAATCTGCCATGACTTGCTTTTGATGAGGAAAGGGGGAGTGGTTGGTGATTTCTGCATGTGGATTTGCATTGGATTTGGGTTTTGATCCGGGATTTGATGGTATGAGGTGTGGCTGGTTGTGAGGGTGAGGGTGAAGGCAAGAGTCAGGGTGAAAGGGCAATGAGGCTCGGTGTATTCGTATTCTGATTGTGAGACGGAAAGGGAGAGACGGTGATGAGCTATGCAGTCAGATATCTAATACACAATCTATGTCGTTTGCGATTCCCATAGGGCAATCCGCATTCTCCATTGTTGTACGAAGCATAACTGTTGAGATATAGTGCTGACATATGCACTGGTACCGAAAGCAATATCCATGATTTTTCGCGCCCCTCCTTTTCAAACAAGTCCATCCATCTACATGAAGCAGTAAACGGTGAAGAAGTGCCCCTCATACTCAGGATCTCTGATATTCGCTTCTAGGACTGACCGTTTGCCATTGTCCCTGGCGGAATGCTATGTCCGTATGCTAACTGACTCGCGAGATGGAAACCATGCTTCGGGCAGACGGAGGGAAGCAAATGCATCAAAAGCACGGACATCTTTTTGCCTGATTGATTGCTCCGGTGAAGGAGAAAAAAACAATAACAGAAGTGGATAAAGTCATAACAAAGACTTGCTCCGTGTACTCCGTCAAGCACGGAGTTGCCTCGGAGCTTTGGGCACAAGTACAACACCGCGGGGCATGTCAACCTCCCGGGCCGGCCGTTTCCAGTGATTTTTCTGAGACGATCAAAGGAAAGTCGATGGGATCATTTAGCATCGATCCCGGTAATCCTGGTGTTGACAGGGTGGCGCCCGATTGCCACGTCGTGTAGAATGAGTGGTTCGTTCGTTCCCAGCTGGCATGCGAGGGATTGCTAGAGACAGCTTTGCAGTGGGGTGATTGATGGGCAATAAGCGGCAAGGCTGCATACCCGCAAATATAATTAAACTACTTTCCAGTGTCCACGATATGCGTACAATGGGCGTTTCCCGTATGTGCTCTTCGTTTTGGGAACACATCAAGTCATCCACCACCCCACCTGTACCTCCAGAGGCCTCCTTTGGCCCGCGATATTACTCAGTGATGTCATTGTTGTTATTTGTCCTTCACAACTATGACTCTGTCGGCAGGATTATAGACGGGATCGCATACAAAGAGTACTACCGTCGTGTACTTGTACCCTTTTGGGAGTGGAACATCCGGAAGACTCCCACGTACGGAGCACGCCGGAGAAAAAGAGTGCCTGCGATTCAAGAGTCTCCCATATTCTCACGTTGCAATGTCCCGGAAAACTACAGAAAAAGTATTGTAGAGTAGGAATCGAAGAGTAGTTGGAGTAACTGGACAGGGGCAGTGGGGGCCGCCTTGAGACCCGGGTTGAGGGAGCCTTTTCCGGAACGTTTTGCATGGTGGGATCGAATTGCTTTGAAACCACCGGCTACTGACTTACATTACTATTTATGTAGTATGATTGCATGAAGAAACATGCCGATAGAGTTGCGGAAGACGCAGTATGCAATCCGTGGATGGGGAGGGGACGGATTCCAGCCGGGCGACACCGGCGGTCCATGGATTGTTGTTGTTTGGTATATAATTGCTATAGCAAAGCGAGTCTTGTTTGTCTCGGGATATTCTTACTTCAAACGCTGGAAGCAAAAGTCTGGAAGCAGTTGAGGCCTTTGGGGTTTCGAAGGCGCAAAAAAAAAAAAAAAAAAAAAAAAAAAAAAAAAAAAAAAAAAAAAAAAAAAAAAAA